AATAAATAAATAAATAAATACCCACTGGCCAATGAAAAACTAAAACAATGCACATTGAATTTTGAGATTATTAGCAGCAGAGGCAAAGAGGAATATATAATGGGCTTAAGTAGCTCTTGATGTGGAGAACATAGGCAAAAGGAAATATAGATACAATTAAATTTCCTTCTAACTTGCGGCCCACTGACAAATACTTGAGACAGGCAGAATTTGAGGTTCCTCCAGCAACTCCCAACTTTCCTAACGTTATTCCCTTGCTAGAGGGAAAAACCACCTTACCTTGACAATAGCTAGGCCTCCAGGATCCTGTAAATCTTCTCTAACATATGAAAATCCTTTTGGAGACTTCCTTTGTCTCTACCTCCCTACCCATTTAAATGTATATAATCCATTGCTCCTCAGAACTCCAGTGCAGCCTTTCTGCCCACCAGTTCTGTCCCCGTGCTTTAATAAAACCACCTTTTTTGCACCGAAACCATCTCAAGAATTCTTTCGTGACCCTTTGCTCCCGGATCCCAACATCCAGTCACACCAGCTCTCACTGTTGAGTTACAGAAAGCATATTTGTACATGAGTGGAAAGTTTTTTCTCCCTGGCCTGGCGTTTAGTGGGGTATTTGTTCAGAAGGTCTTTGAGTTAATTCAATGAATGGCATCATCTGAGGCTGTTTAATAAGAAATGCAGAGGTGCTCCGCATAGGTCTAACGGTCCTGATTTTACCCTTGGGACAAAGCCCAGGGTCTAATGTTAGGAGTGTCGGTCTTATAGGATGATGCCTGGGGCAGGGATGAGAAGAGATTAGAGGGTCACCTGCAGGTTTATAGGCTTGTAGGAACTGCCTCTACCCTTTCCATTCCTATTGCTGCCACTCTTGAAGTCTGCGTCCCTATTGCATGGTCGGGTTTACTGCACAACCTGGCTTATTTGCTTGCTTCTGGTCTCTCCACTCCAAAGCATCCTTTGAGACAGAGAAACTGAGGGACTTCATAAAAAATCTGCTTTCTGCTTCTTCTCCTGCTTCTATCTTTGCTAGGACCTGCACCCGCACTTTACCCACGTCTCATAGTGCAAATAATGTAGGTCCTCCTTTGGAAGGGAGTTAATGATTTCTTTCGAATAATTAACATCTAAGGAAGGACCAGGTGCACATGACTGGAAGAAGTCATCCCATGTGTGTTCCAGACCATGGGCACTAGACATCTCGACACTAAGACCCCCTGGCTCCAGGAAATAACACCTGGGCCCTCATCTTTGTTCTAACTGGTTCCTGGATGCCTGAGAGGATACGTACTCCAGACCACCCTCCTCAATAAAAACCCCAGACCCTAAACATAGACAAGACTCTCTTCTTTCCTTTCTGAGTCTCCCAGACACTCTGTACCTGCACTCTTTCAATACCTCCAATAAACTCGGCTTTCACCTTCTGCTTGGCTCATGTTTGATTTCTATCCTGCGTACAGCCAGAGGCCCTCCTGGCTGGTCCAGTGGGACCCCCCCCTCTGAGTCCCAAGACCTGGTCTGCTGGCATCACTTTCACATTGCTTCTGGCTTAACATTTCCAAGACATTGCTTTTTCAATTTCGCCCCTCCATTCAAAAACATTTCAGTGACTTGCAAATTGCTTAAAAAGGAAACCACAGGCCCAAAATGCTGTCACGTAGGCCAAATCAATAAACCAAGAATCAACACCTAACCTAACTGCAGTTTGTACTCCCCCCCCCCCCCCCCCCGGAATGTAACCTTTAACCAGTCAACATGGAATTTGCTGGTCAATGACGAGGAAATTTACTGATAGACCCCTTCTGCTCCCTTTGGGGTGGGAGTCCGGGGGGAGGGGCAACCTTGCCAAAACAATTCATTCCTCGCTAACAAATTCCTTTCTTCCTTTTTAATGACTTCTTTGTCTTTAAAAAACATTCTTTTGTTTAACTCAGTGGAGCTCCTCTCTGCTTCCTAGATGGGATGCATGAATTGTTTAAAAAAGCCAATTAGATCTTCAAATTTACTTGGTTGAATTTTGTTTTGTTTTTAACAAGTATGAAGTCTAATGTATTATCTTGCTATTTAAAGTCTTCTGCAACCAGACCCTGACTTACCTTCATGTCTTATCCTCTCCTAGTCCTTAAATGGTGCTTCTGAAATCAGAGGCTTCAATACCCTAGGAGTGTGTGTGGGGGGGGGGGGGCGGCAAGGAGGGAGAGGGACCTTTGATGCAATAGGGCCAAAACATAGTGAACATTATTTCTAAGTGTCAAGTTTACCAGATGACAGTTACTCTAAAGTTTTTTTTTATTTTTTCTAAAACATGCTATAGGGGCGCCCGGGTGGCTCAGTCGTTAACTGTCTGCCTTTGGCTCGGGTCATGATCCCAGGGTCCTGGGATCGAGTCCTGAGTCAGGCTCCCTGCTCGGCGGGAAGCCTGCTTCTCCCTCTCCCACTCCCCCTGCTTGTGTTCCCTCTCTTGCTGTCTCTCTCCGTGTCAAAAAAATAAATCTTAAAAAAAAAACAACAAAAAAACCCCCAAAAAACCCCCCAAAACATGCTATAGAGTAGAGTGCAACATTACATCAACTTTAAAGCTGAAACCAAGGCATCACAGAGCTTTTCGGGATTTTGGTGGGCCACATTTCAAGGCCCTATTACTTTCTTATCGTCTTCAAACTAACCCAGTCACTGGTAGTCATAAATACTCATAAAAAACTGACCCTGGAATTGATATGGGAAACAAAGGAAGAAGGAAAATTATTAAATTTCCTTACTACCTACAGCCCCATTGACAAGTCCTTGAAACAGGTTAGAGTGACATTCCTCTAGGGACTCAACTGCCTCAATGTTGACACTTTGCTAAGGTCAAAAGCAATCCTAGCTGCCCACCCCCCCAGGATCCTGTAAGCTTTCTTTAACATATAACCCCCCACCAAGAAACGTGTTGGCAATCATCCCCCAAGAATATGGCCCACCTATATACCTCTGAAGGGTCTCATGGCTAAGGTGTTATTAGATGGTAATAAATGGCCTTTTCCCAACAAGAGCCAGCCCCCTCAAGGTCCTGGAAATCTTGCTTCCAAAACTCCTTAGAGACTTACACTATCCCTAGCCCCCTCCCAACTTGAAAGTCTATAACGGGCCACTCCTCCTGACCCCGGTGCAGCTCTTCCTGCCTATGGGTCCTTTCCCCGGGCTTTAATAAAACAGCCTTTTTTGCACCAAGGGCGTCTCAAGAATTCTGTCTTGGCCATCGGCTTCTAACTCTAATGTTCCTTCTAAAATCAGAATCACCTTTTGTAAACTCCCACTTTTATGCAGTTTTTAACTTTTATGCTTTTATGAAGTTTTTAACACTGGTTCCTCTCCCTGAAAGCCTTTCCTTCAAATTCCAGCACACTGTCCCTAACATCCCTTGATCCTGCTGGGAAATCACACCAATTACCTATGTCATTCCAGGAGAAGCACTTAGTATAAAATGCCTCCTTTATCATTTCTTAGAATCATTCTGTGATATTGTGGCAATAAATATATATATATAAATATATATGTCTGATATATCCGGTATTTGTCCCCATTCCTAGCACAGAACTCCTAAAATCCTTGGAACTTCCTGAGATCGATGGAGGTGTATTATGTTAATGTAGTGATTTTTGGAAGGCCCCTAGGTAACCAAAGGATGGGGTTTGGTTGCTAGGGGAACCAACCAAGAGATTAGAAGGTGGGACACCCCCAGACTTCCTAGGACGGGAAAAGGCCAGGAGATAGAGTTCAATCACCAATGGCTAATGATTTAATCAATCATGCCTGCGTAATGAAACTTCCATAAAACGCTGAAAGTAGGGGGTTCAGAGATCTTCTATGTTAGTGAACGCGTGCAGGTCCTGGGAGAGTGGCACAGCTAGAGAAGGCATGGAAGCTTCCCACATAACCTTGCCCTATGCATCTTTTTCAACTGTCCCTGAGTTTTAGCCTTTTATTAAAACAAACAAAATAACAACAACAACAACAAAAACCACCTAGCGACCTAGTAAGCAAAATATTTCCCTGCGCCTCTACAGCAAATTACTCTGCCTGGGTTGGGGGTGGGGTCATGGTAACCTCCCATCAACTATAGCCTGGTGGGTCAGAAGCACAGGTAACTAACAACCTAGAACTGTAACTGGTGCCTGAAGTGGGGGCAGGAGCAGTCTTGCAGGCCTGAGCCCTTAACCTGTAGGATCTAATGCTATCTCCAGATAGTGTCAGAAGAGTTCAGTTTGGTGGTGTTGGAAAAAACACACACTGGACATACTTTTCAGAAAGTTGGTAGGGATCAGATATCGTCTTAATTCCCAGACTGAACAAAGGAGAACCCAAGTCCAGAGAGGTGAAGGTGACATGTTTATTCTAACTAGAAGGTGTGCTTCCTGATGGCAGGGCTGGTGCTTTATCCTCCTTGCCCCCCTCAGGGTAGTGCCTGGACTTAGTGCGAACAATAATCTAAACTCTTCTTCTGGAGTGTTTTAATTTACACGATTTCAAGATATCCAAGACCCTGCACAACCCTGTCGAGGTGAGCAGGGCAGATGCCGTCCATTTTAGAGGTAAAATAACAGGTTCACTCGTAAAGCCTGACAAGAGCCAGGACCAGAATACGGGTTTCCTGATTCTTGGCTACAGCATCTCAACATCTTTGGGTGTTTGGTCAATATTGGTCAATTTGATCAAGCCAAGCAACTGTTGAGCTCAGTACATTTGGCGCCAATCGGAGGAGGATCACTGAAACATGCTGCACCTGGCAAGAGGGCAAAGGGAGAAAGCCCAGTTCCCTGACCCCAGCCTCTAGGGTTCTGTCATTGCGACGGTTTCCAGCGCCAGACAAAAAAAAAAAAAAAAAAAAAAAAAAAAAATCCCAGCTCCGAACCCGCTGCGCAAGCGCAGAGGTACAAAAGGCGAATCACCCCACCCCGCCCCTCCAAGTTCCGGGTTGCGCAGGCGCAGTGGCGCGGGGGCGTGGCAACGCAGCACGCTCCTCCCGGGGGCCGACGTTGACGGAGGGGCGCCACGGTTTGAAGTTACGTGACTTTCTGTTCGAACGCCTCATCCGCCCGGCTTCAGCGAAGCAGTCCCGCCGGCGAAGAGGGTGAGCGCGGTGCCGCGTGAGGACGACGCGAAGCGACAGGAGAGAGGGTAGACGCCGGTGGAAACGCAAACGCGGCGAGCTGTTGTGCAGAGGGGCAGGCCGAGTCGGGAGCGGGAAAAGGTTCTGGAGCCGGAGGGGCGGGACCAACGTGTGATTGGCGGGCTAGAAACCAATGCGAGGGGAAAGGACAGACCAATGAGGGTGGGACCTGCAGTGGCTGTGGAGCGGCGCTTAGGAGTGAGAACAGCTACCCTGCGTCAGGGGGCTTCAATTTAGCCCGGCTGTGCTAAGGCGCTTTTCATAAATTACCTTATTTAGTGATCCTACAACGCTATGAGTAAGTGCTGTTACCTGTTTCTCTTTTACGGATGAGGAGACTGAGGCTTAGGGATATTAACATAAGCTGGGATCCCAGACTTGGCCACCGGAGCCCAGTTCCCATTCTGTTAAAGGCTCCGCTCTACTGCCCGTCAGGGAATCAAAGTGGAGTAGGGTTCAGTCTAGAGGACTGGGATGAATGGAATTGACCACTTGTTGGAGGAGGTGTCATAAAGGTGGAAATAAATGCTAATAAGTAGCAGGTTCTTCTTACATAGTGTGAGAGCTCCGAGGATGGAGCTGGGAGGGAGATAGAAGGCTCCAGCAAGGTGAGAATGTGGGGGTTGTGGGCCGGACTGTCTCTCCAGATCTTGGAGCATTGCAGCTGTGCAAGCTGTGGCTCTGGATTAGCAGCCGGTGTAGAGAAGCTTTTCTTCTTTTAGGGCTGTGTTGCCTCCCAGGTCTGTGAAGTTGAAGTATTTTAGGAACCTAACAGCACAATAGTCGCTGGCTGGAAGTTGTCTCAGGCTACCATAACAAAGTACCTTAGACTGGTGGGCTTAACAGAAACTTGTTTACTCACGGTTGCAGAGTCTGGGAAGTCTAAGGTGCTGGCGTATTTGGTTCCTTGTGAGAGCTTTATTCCTGACTTGCAGAGGGCCCCCTTCTTCCTCATCCTCACATGGTGTGGAGAGTTCCCTCTTTCCCCTTCTTCCAAGGTCACCTGTCTTTAGAAGGATTAGGACCCCTCTCTTATTATGACTTTAACTTCAGTTTCCTACTAAAAAGCCCTATCTTCAAATACAGTCTGTGTTGGGGAGTAGACCTTTAACACTTGAATTTTGCTGGCGGGGGGGGACACAATTCAGTCTGTAGCTATAGTTTATACGCAAGTAAATAATGAATGGTGATTGAGAACTGAAGAAAAGGAACTTTCAGAACTAACATGTACCTGAGATGCTTTCATGTATTTTATCTCATTTAATAAGTATATGCTCTGTGCCTTAGCATTGGTGGGGAATTCTAGGGAGAACTTGTGTGTGGGGTTGTGGCTGTCCACCACACAACCAACCTGAAGAGGTGAGAAAAAGTTACACCAAATGTCCTGAATAGCACTTAGTGAATCCGCTATTCAAGCATTTATGCAAATACTTCTTTAACTTGTGATTTAGCTTGTGCTGCTTTTGGAATAATGAGATCCATAATTACCACCCACAGGGGGGTGAAATAATTACTTTTCTTCTATACTGTTTCATGTTGTCATTCTGAAGTTTAGTAACCAAGTCTTTCTTTTCAGTAGGCTTGCCCTGGTGGAAGGAAGAGGGATGAACTGTAAAACACAGGGGCTTGGAGGTCTGGCAGATGGGGGTTCAAGTCTTGGGTTCAAGCACTTGCTGAGTGACTGGTCAAGTCTCAACCTCTCTGAGTCTCAGTGTTTTCATCTATAAAATACAGCTAATAAAAATATCACACAGGGTTGCTGTGAGGTTATATGAAAGCAGTTGGAAACCATTAAAGAACTGGCCCTTGGACTAAATATTTTAGTTGTGGGACCTCCTCTGCCCATGCCTCTGAAGAACAGAAACCTCTACCTACAGCCACCATATCAAGCTGGCTATTCATTCATTTCATCAAAATTTATTTGAATGCCTGCTAGGTGCCAAAGTACCTATTCTGATGCTGGGGGCAGGGAAGAACAAGACAGACAAGGTTCCTCCTCTTATGCCATGTATATTCTGGTATGAAAGGATTATAAATAAAATAAGTTCAGTTAGTGCTAAGAGCTGCGAAGAAATTAAATACAGGGTAATGAGACAAAAGAGTGACTTCAAGCAGGGTGGTGTATGTGTGTTTGGATAGGGAGTGGTATTTGACCCGAATAGGGTGGCCAAATAGAGGTGGAGGCTTCTGGGAGAAGGCTGAGTCCTAAATGTCCATCATTTGCCAGGCAAGCTCAAAGGTAGAGGGCGCTGAAGAGGCCCTGTGCCAGCCAAAGTTTGGGGTAAGCAGAAGCTATGAGTAAGCGCAGGAGGTCAGTGAGTGCCTCCATCTGGCATGTGACTGAGCAGCAGAAGGGCAGTCTGTGGGTGTTTACTTGGTGGGGAATTTCTTGGAGCTCTTAGGATCTGGATTACTTTGTAGTTGTAGTCTGCAAGAAATCCCACTCTGTCAGTGGCTTCTGTTTTTTTTGTAGGTTTTCGCAGATTTTGCATAATTTCTCAGTATGTATATTTTCATTAGATCTCCCTTCTGCCTCTGCTGATTATCTCTTGTGAGGTGAATCTGACTAAAAGAGAGCCATATGGACCTTGGTGTGGGTCCCTGGTTTTTCTCTTGTTAACTTTGCCCTTGAAAATTATTTAATGTCTGGAAGCATGATTACCCAACAACTGTGTCCTTATAGTGTTGTACAGGTTAACTGGGATAATAATAGTAAAAAGGCCTGTGGAGTGTTTAACACATACTAGGTGATCAAAATTTGTTAGACACCTTCCTCTTTTCTTCCTTTTTTTTTTTTTTTTTTTGATTCTATGCCTCCCTCTCAGTATTGAATGGTCCTAGTTTTTAATAGTCACCCTTCTTATAGTTTCTCACCTCTGTCGTCCTGTTAGGTGCTCCTAAACTATTAACTGGACGAACGTCATGGCAACTACCTTTCCCTTCATCAGTGTATTGACATTGTCAGTAGTCTTACTGAGGCCGGTCGTGTGGCAGGATTCTAAGTGGATTTCAGACTGATTAGTACTTAGAAGAGATGGGCCTGCCAAATAGGTTGGAGCAGTGACTTCCAAAGAGAGTGTGGGAACCAGGATGGAAGGGTTAGTCCTCCACATGGTAACGAAAGGAAGAAAGGGTTGGGGCGGCTAGCAGGCTCAGTCAGTTGAGCATGTGACTCTTGATCTCAGGGTCATGAGTTCAAGCTCCACATTGAATGGAGCCTACTTAAAATAAAGATTAAAAAAAAAATCTAAAGGAAGAAAGGGTATGGAGAAGCTATCTTAGAGAAATTTGGTTCAGAAGAGGGGAAAAAAGATAAAACATGGAGCTGAGAAGTTCTTCTTAGACCTTGGCCTGGCAAGGAAAGAGAAATGCTATGGTTTCAGTGTTGGGGAGCTCTGGAATTCCAGCCAGGGCTTAGTCCCTGTCAGGAGAGCTCTCCCAGTCTGCAACCAGACAGAAAGCTCTTATTTCTTGAGGCTGGCAAGGCTTTAGGAGGAGGCTCTGGTTTATACTGGACATGGAGGCTAGGATGAACAAAGAAGCAAACTAAAGATCCCTGTGAAATACGGATGTATGTGTGCACCTGTGCCAGGTAAAGAACTGTACTGGTGATTCTCTGCCTGTGTTTTTACAGGTCTTGGCAGCAGGATTAAGTGAGGCGGCTTTGCCAGGCAAAGGCTGTGCTGTGGACATGGGCAGAACTGTGCTGCACAGCTAGTCAGGAGCAACACCCCTGACCTCAGGGGTACACCTCGAGAGGAAGTCTTTACACCTTTCCTGGAGGCATTAGAAGGGTGTCCAAGAAGCAGAAGAATCCCAGGTAAAATGGCAGGGCGGTTTCTGTTTCAGGGCTCTGCTGGGCTGCGTTCTGCATAGCCATTTCTGATAAAGGTCATTAGATGGGTTGCATGAGCTGGGTATGGCTTCATGAGGGCGTGCACCTTGGGGAGAACCTGGTCTCTGCTTGCAAAAAAGTGTACAACCTGAGGAGAAATTCTGTATCTAGTATTGAGACTGGTGTTAGGAACTGTTCTAGATTTCAGGCCTATTTTTTTTCCCCCTAGGACCATGGCTAATAAAACCCAGGAGGTTGGTGGTATCCATTTCCCTTTTCCCTTCACACCCTATTCCATTCAGAAAGACTTCATGGCAGAGCTATATCAGGTGTTGGAGGCTGGCAAGATTGGAATATTTGAGAGTCCGACTGGCACTGTAAGTATGACTCTTCAGGGGCCAAGAGGGTCCTGAGAGACCCTGATTATGGCACTGCAGAAGCCACCTAGCATGCTTGTTAACCTAGGCAGAAGTTTTCATGGTTTGAAGTTGGGCGAAGTTGTTCCCTTGGTTTATCTTTCTGAGTAACAGTCGCTTCCTCTGTTAAATGCAGCCCCAGGGTCTGAGAACAGTTACGCTGAAGGTAAAGGAGAATTTGAATGCCTGTAGAAACCAAGACCTATAGCACCGAAGCTTTGCAAATTGTTCTGGGCACACAACTGCTTTGATGTTGAGAAACAAATTACCTTGGCTTTTTCACAGATTAAACATACTGGTTTCGTTGTCAGAAACAAAGTTACTGAGTGCTGGAGAGATCCAACCAAAGGCCCGTGAGTTTTTCCTTCCAGGAGTGGAATGATGGAGGGATTTATTAGAAGGTGGCTAGGAGGAAGATTAGGACAGTAGTGAGCAGTCCCCGCCTCTCCTTTAGAAAGTACTATGTGGTAGTGAGCTGCGTGTGTTGATGCGAAGATCCCCCAGCCAGGCCGCGGTCTCCTGGAGGTCCTCCTCTGTGTCCCTGTCATCCCGTGGGGCTTGGTGAGTTCTGCCCACAGGAGGCTTCTAACCCAGTGCAGCAGGCCTTCTTCCCCCACCAGTCCTCGCAGACTGGTTTTTCGTCTCAGCAGTGATTTCCTGATTAGTAGATTTGGGTGTTTCGAGTCCTTATTTGATCTCTCTGCAACAGTTAGTATCATTGAACATATCCCTCTCCTTCGTTTAGAGTCATAAAAAATTTAATCAAAAATAATGCGTGTCATCTGTAAAGTTAAAAAGTTTATCAAACTTGGTTCTTTGGGCAGGTATTTTTAATTCTTTTAACTGGTTCCTAAGAAATACACTTGCATAGCATATCTGAAATTGTAAACTTGGTGCTGTTTCTTGATTTATTCATTATAGTGATTGTGCCTTCCTTTGTGATAGCTAAGATGTAGCTCTCTTACTGTCTCCTTTCCTTCCCTCGCCCCATCCTCCCGGTGTAGTTAGGAAAATTTTAGCCTCTGCTAAATCAGTATGCTCTGATTATGGGTTTTCTTCTTGAATAATTTTTGTTTTCCCAGAGTTGATAATTGCCTTTTAAAGTTTGTCTAGTTTTTAATATACCTACACCACTTTCTCACACCATCCACGGGCCTTTCTGTATGATACTCCATCCATAAAATTACAGCTTAGTCTGGCTGCTCAGGCTGCCATAACAAAATACCACAGACTGGGTGGCTCAGAGGACAGAAATTTATTTCTCAGTTTGGGAGGCTGGAAGTGCAAGGTTTGGGCAGCCTCTGGCTTCTGGCAGGGACTCTTCCTGGCTTGTAGGGGGCCCCCTTCTCACTGTGTCCTCACATGGTGGAGAGAGGTTTGGTGTCTCTCCCCCTTTTATCAGGACACCCGTTTTATCAGATCAGGGCTCTACCTTTACGACCTCATTTAACTGTAATCCCTTCCTTGAAGGCCCTTTCTCCAATAGTCACATGAGGGTTAGGGCTGAAACATATGAATTTGTGAGGGGACATAATTCAATCTGTAGTAATTACTAACTCCATTGTACCGTGGAGATTTCCTTCTTGAAGTTCTCAGTTTACTCTTAAGATCTACTTCACAACTGTAATGCTAGGATTTCCCTTCTTTCCTTTAAAAAAATCAACTTTATGGAGTATAATTGACATATAATAAAATATACCCCTTTTATTTTTTTAAAGATTTTATTTATTTATTTGACAGGTAGAGAATCAGAGAGAGAGGGAACACAAGCAGGGGGAGTGGGAGAGGGAGAAGCAGGCTTCCTGCGGAGCAGGGAGCCCGATGTGGGGCTTGATCCCAAGACCCTGGGATCATGACCTGAGCTGAAGGCAGACGCTTAACGACTGAGCCACCCAGGCGCCCCCAAAATATACCCCTTTTAAATCCACAAGTCAATGAGTGTTGACAGATGTAAACCCCCATATAGCCACTACTGCAATGAACATGCAAAACAGTTCCACCAGCCCAGAAAGTTTGTTTACCCTTGGCTGCTGTTCCCCTCTCACACCCCACCCTACCCCAGCCAGTCAGGGTTCACTTTCCATCTCTGTAGATGCATTCTGTCTTTCTAAAATTTCATGAAAATGGAAACATATAGAAGTACTATTTTGTGACTAGCTTCTTTTGCTCAGCCAGCATAATATTTTGGGGATTCATCCACATTGTTGTGTGAATTCTTTGTTGGATTCTCTGTTTCCTGGATTCCGTATCTTTTCGGTTCACTTGTTTTGATAGAGAATGTTCCTGAAGGTTGTATGGGAGGTAAGATTTTGAGACTTTGCTGGTCTGAGAATGTATTGATGTGCCTTTTCACTTGACTGGTAGTGATAGTTGGGTTGGGTATATAATTCTAGCTGCAGAATGCTTTTCCCTAATAGCTGCTCCCTCTACCCTCTGGTTTCCATTGTTGCTACTGGGACGTCAGGTGCAACCTGCACCTCAGTCCTTGGTGGCCTGATCCACCCCGCCTTCCAAAGTTTCAGGATATCCTCTATCCTTTGTATTCTGAAATCGCATGTCGATGGGTTGGATGAGTGTGTTTCGTTTTTTGTGTTGGCCTCCTGATGGGCACTTTGTATCTGGAGACTTCTTATCTCTCCATTCTGAGATGTTTTCTCACATTTGATAATCTTCCTGGTACTCCCATTCTTTGAGTTTGGACCTCCTGGTCTTCTTCTTCCGTTTTTTTTTTTTTTTTTAAAGATATTTATTTATTTGAGAGAGACAGAGATAGAGCATGAGCAGGAAGGAGGGGGAAAAGCACACTCCCCGCAGAGCAGGGATCCCGATTCGGCACTTGATCCCAGGACCCCGGGATCGTGACCTGAGCCAAAGGCAGATGCCCAACCGACTAAGCCACCCAGGTGCCCCAGTTATGTTTTCTTCTAGTTGCTTGTCTCTTTGGGCATATTGGTTTGTTCCTGTTTTGTTTCACTTTGAATTCTTCTTCAGGATTCCTTTGACTTTGTTGTCCAGTCTTTCTGTTCAGTGTATTTCTCTTATTCTATCTTTAATATTTAAGAACTTGTTCTTATTCTCTGCTTCTTAAAAATAGCATCCTGTTCTTGTTTCATGGAAATAATATCTTTCTGTGGATACCAATTAAAGTAGCATTTTTGAATTTTTTCTGCCCTGCATCATCTCATTGTCCATCCTTCTCCCTCCCCCAGTTTGGGTTCTGTGTTTTGTTGAGAGGCTTTCCTCAAATGTCTGGTGATCCTTGGCTATCTTCTGTTGGTGTTCAAGAAAAAGCCACCACAGGGCGGGCTGACTGGCTGTGGGGCAGGCTGGCTTTGGACTGATGGGCTAGCTTCTCTGTTGGGGCCTCCAGTGATCAGTCACTGTGTGATTTCTCTCGAGCCATCCAGTTTTTCCAGAGAAGGTTCCTTTAAACTCTTGCCTTCTGGTCCCAGCCTGATGGCCGTTATTCTTGAGGGTGTTCTGGGAAAGCTGCTTCAGGTGCATGGGCTTTCGCTTAGTGTCCTGCTTTGAGTCCGGCCCTCTTGGGCACCCTTCACTTGACCCGCCGTCTCCAGAGCCCTCCTGGCTCAGCTCCTCCAGAGGGTACACATCCTGTCTTCTGCAGGGAGGGGACATCCTTGGCAATTTGGGGGTTTGTGAGCAGGAATCGGGGGGATCTCTGCAGGCACTTGGGCTTAGCATCCTTTACTCCTCTCAGTCCAGTTCTCTGCTTTCCATTTCTCCTAAAACCTGTTACTTTCCCTTCTTCCACTTTCTTTGTTTCTGTGGGTTTTAAGCCTCTTTTATTCCTTTGGTGTAATTTTAGCATGTTTCAGAAAAGGACACAGAAGAGCATGTGTTCATTCTGCCCTGTTTAACCTGAAGGCTTAGGTCCCCATCTCAACCCTCTGCCTGTTCTGTGCATCCCATTCCTCTGCTCAGCCCTTTCTTGTCGATGTTCGTGGTTCCAGGGCGTCCTGTCTTTGTGACTTCAGTTACCGTATCATTCTGACATTATCTAAATCCTGTCTCTAGTAAGTTCTTCCTCCTGTGGTTGGTGCCCCCTTGCACACAGGGGTGCCATACCATTACCCGCGGTGCCTCACCTGCTAGACCTCTACCTCAGTGGCCAAGCTCCCCACTTAGCTCCTCATGATGCCTGCTTCTCTTGTCCCTCCCCATTTTAGCCTTTCATGAGTCCGCCACATTGTGCTGACCTCTCCACCTGGAGCCCACGCTTCCCAGGGAAATGCGACGCCCCGCGGTTCGTGTGTTAAGTTTGTGCCTGTGGGCATTTTCTAGAGAATTCTCCTTCCCAACATCAAGTCCAATGCTTGTTACAGTGTGGGTGTTTGTATAACTGTGATATCTTGGGTGGTACCCCACGAAATAACATTGTTCAAAGCTAGGTATGTTGTGGGTACTTTATTAACTGAGGCAAGCATTGGGTCATACATCCTTTTAACATTTTCCGGTTTAAATTTTTATTGTCTTACTAGGGGATATAGAATTGCAGGCCTCAGTCCTCCTTTCTCTTTGTGATAGAGTGTGTTCACAATTGTGGGAAGATAACTTTGACGTTCCCTTGGGAACTTCCTCAGCTCACTTTCCAGTGGAGGGTGCTGGCTCTCTGACCGGGTGTCCGACCCAGGGCCACTGTTTTAGGGGGATGGCTCCCTGGCCCCTAGCTTGGTGATGGCTAAAGCCGGTGGCTCCCCATTTTACTGGCATACAGAATGGCTGCTGTCCAGCTGCTGCTGGGGAGTGCTGTTCGGAAGTCTTTGCCATTGTGTATTTATTTATCAAAAGCTGAGAGAAATGGTCTATATGGGGCTTTTTCCAAAGATATGTCATCTCTTCATTCTTCAGAAGTGCCATTCTGTCATAGGGCCTTTTAAGAATTTCATGAAATAGGTTCTTATTGCAGGACATAATAATCTTACTATTATTACTTAATAATAGCAAAAAAAATTAGCTCCTGTTGCTCACTTATGTACCAGGTATTGTTCTAATCCTGGAGTAGGTATTAGCTTTTATGGGTGTGAACTTACTTAATGCTTGCAGCAGTTCTGAGGAAGGCGCGCGTACGCTCTCTCTCTCTCTCTGTCTCTCTCTCTTTCTCGTCTCACACACACACGCCTCATTTTTTTTCTTGCCCCAGAAGGACTGTGTTAGTGCTCCCACTGCTGTAACAGAGTTCCACAGGCTGGGTGCTTAAACCACAGAAGCTTTCTCTTCACAGCTCTGGAGGCCAGAAGTGCAGACTCAGGGTTGTGAGGCAGGGAGGGTTCTCTTGGAGGGCCGTGAGAGGATACTCTGTTCTGGCCCTCTCCTCAGCATGTAGGTGGCCATCCTCCCCTGTGTCTTACCGCATCGCCTTCCCTCTGGGCATGCCTCAGTGGCCCAATCTCCCCTTTGGGTAAGGACACCAGTCTTAGTGGATCAGGGCCCCCCTCTTTCTTAAACTACATGCATCTGCAGTGACCGTATTTCCAAATAAGTTCACATTCTGAGACACTCAGGGTTGTTAGGACTTAACATATGAATTTGAGGGGGGGACACAATTCAACCCACAGCAAGGACCCACAGGGAAAATTCTAGTCTTTGAATTAAGAATTGTGTTCTCCAGAGCAATTAGTTTGCTTTAAAAAGTTTCTGAAGACTGGGACTCATGGGACCAATCATGTTCTGTCTGCACATGGGCTGTATTAAAGCATAGAGCCAAATGTGGCTCCCCCTTAGCGAGTATATAGGTTTCAAGCCATGTATTTTTTGGCCTTCTTTTTTGGGGCTTTTTATCTAATTCCTCAGCTTCTAATTATGTTAACTTGCAGTACTTTTATGTAACTTGATAAGCCACATTAAATTATCTTAGGAACAGTGAGCTATATAATTAAACCAAGAACTTTTTTTTTCTTTCTTCCTTTTTTCCTATTTTTCCTGGCTGTCCTTTTGCTAATTCCCTTCCTGCCCTTTCCCAGGTTGGTCTTAGAGTGCCTTCTAATATTTAAAGTTAGACCTTCCTTGAAGGCTTTATTAAAATGGGAAACGTCATTTGGAAAGCTTTGGTTTTTGTTCTCGTTTTTGAAGACCTTTTTCTTCCTGTAGGGAAAATCTTTAAGTCTTATTTGTGGGGCCCTTTCCTGGCTCCGTGACTTTGAGCAGAAGAAACATCAAGAAGAGGCACGTCTCCTTGAAACTGGAACTGTCCCCTTAAGTGACGGGCAGGAGCAGTCCCTGTCTCTCTCATCCTCCTGCAAAGAGACCCCAGGCACCCTGAGGCCTGTGGGAGAGCCTGACTGGGTGACTCAGTTTGTGCAGAAGAAAGAAGAAAGGGACCTGGTAGACCGACTGAAGGTGAGCTGTGGGGTGACAGAAGTGGGAGCCATCCAGGAAACAGGGCTTGGCTAGTAATTTGGGGTTGATTGTGGGAGTTAGCGTGTCCTTTGCCTTTGCGGTGCCTTCTTGAGCCTGTGGTACTGCACCCGCGCTGTCTTTTTAAAGCTGATGTCAACAGGCCTTCTCTAGATGGGGTGGACAGTTCCATTCATTACCTACTTGGGAAAGGAGCCTCACCGTTGCCGTTGGCAACGCGGTTCAGTGGCTGCAAACTCCATTAAGGGAATGAATTTGATTGAGAGTGTGTTGCTTTGGGAGGGAGTGTGCAGACCTCCCACACTGAGGGTCAGAGATGCTGCAGTCCCCGGAAGGAAGAACCGCCCCGCCCCGTGTATGGAGGCCCTGGGCTGAGCCCCAGACTCTTCAAGAAGGGCATGGTTGGGGACTTGGGCAGGAGTTTCCTTTCTGGCTACTCCACCCTCTAGGAGGAGCAGGTCAGGAGGAAGAAGCGAGAGGAACGCCTGCAGCAGATCCGTCACAATGCACAGCTCAAGTATGCAGCCAAGCGCATGGTGAGCGTCCTCTGCGGGGGTGGCAGGGATGGGGTGCCGGCACTGTTGTCACACTGTGTGGGGCCTTACGGTGCCGCTCCTGTCGGGGAGTGGCCAGGACCTCAGTCTGCTGGCCCTGCCCCCCTCTGGCTAAGTTCTCATCGTCCAGTAGCTGCAGCTCGAGCTGAGGTATTGCTACCTGGGGTATAGTCACCGGTAGGGAAGCGAGGCCCGTGGTGATGGCGTGTGGTAGCCACTCGCAGGCAAACTTGGGTGGGGGCGCGGGCGCCGGTGCTGAGATTGCTTTCTCTCTCCACTGGCGGTGCTCTTACAGAGACAAGAGGAAGAAGAGATGGAGCGTGTCCTCCGCCTCAGCAGGGAGGCGCTGGCGGCAGGGGCAGCGGCCGAGCTGCCAGAGCAGCCAGCATGTGGGGAGGAGGACCTGGTCCTCGCCGAGTATGAGAGCGACGAGGAGAAGGGAGCGGCTGGCAGGTAAGGCGGCACTTCTCCCTGCCCCGCCGCCCCCGCCTTCGTGGACATGGGGCCTCCCGCGGGAGCGGCTCCTGTGCCCGGAGAGGGGCAGGCTGCTTTGTCCCTCATGAGGCATCCGAAGGGATGCAATGCCGGCCACCTGGCCCTGCTCTCAGTCAGGCTCCTGAGCGTGTGTCACTGGTGGTGACGGCGGTGGCCAGCCGTGCCCTCTGCCAGCATCGGGTTCGTGTGAGTGAACTCTGGTAGCCTCGCAAGCTTTGTGTCTCCCCATCATGGCCAGCAAGGGGCTAGGAGGCCGAGGGGCAGGGACTGCACCCAGCCTGGCTGGCTCTAGTCGCGTGCTCTTCGCCCCCGGACTACACCGTGGGAGCTTTAGGACGTAAACCATCAACGTATCCTTAGCCTGAGTTGCTCTTTCCACTGTCTGGTTTCTGCCTGGGTTTCTGATTTGTGAGCAGTAAGCTGCTGGGTGGAGTAGAAGACCCTGAAGATGACAGCGAGGCTTTTCAGAGGTCATGCTTCCCCTCGCGGGAGCCTCCTTTTCCATGCGCACTTCAGTTGCACAGATGACCTTTGAGGATCTGCTCTAGGTGTGGCATGGTTCCAGATGCCAAGTACGCCGGCTATGCCCCCTGCCCATGGAGAGCTTGCATGTGGTTGGGGGCGGCGGGTGGTGGGACAAACACACAGGTGGTAACTGCGTGAGGTGAGCACATTTGCCCAGGAGGAAAATGAAACCAGGTGCAGCGGGTAGAGTGTGGGGTTGCCCCTTGAGGTGAAGCCAGGAGAGGCCTCTGAGGAGGTGGTGAAGGGTGAGAAAGAGCCGTGGGAAGACCTGGGAGGAGAGGTCTAGTCAGAGGCCTGCTGGTGCCCTGGTCTGGAAAGGGGAGCAAGTTTGGCGGGTTTGAGGGATACAGAGAAGGCCCACGGGCTAAGAGCGAATGAGGAAGAGAGGCAAAGAAGAGGCAGCTGTCTGTTTGGGCCTCAGAGTTCCACTGAGGGGTCTAGGTATCTCTCTCCGTGTCGCGGGGCTGTGGGCCGTTGCAGGCAAAGGAGTGACCTCATTTGGGCATTAGGAAGGGCATTAAGGTCATTTTGACATCAGTGGCTCTCCCCAAGGCATGAGTGCATCTAGAGGTCATTCCTCTTGGGCTCCCAGCTTGGAAGGGGTGTTTCCTGCTCCTCTAAAGGTGACTTCAGGTCCCATGTGTCCCATGTTGTCATTGACACTGTGGTGACCGTGTGTGTGGAGTGTAACTCCAGGGTCTCAAACCTTCCGTTGAATGGTGATGGAGAAAACCTTCACAGCCTGTCTGCCGTGTACCTTCTAACCTCGCCCGCAGACGCTCAGGGTCCCGGCTGCCCTGACTTCTTTCTTTGCCCCTCAGCTTTATTCTAGATATAATAGGGGTATAACATTGTGTGAGTTTAAGATGCGTACCATGATGGTTTGATAGGCGTATGTATTGCAAAATGATCACTATGATGAGGTTACTTAACAGAACCATCACCTCACGTTCGTAACATTTCTTTAAAAATGTGCTCTCAGCACCTCTCAAATACACAATATAGTGTTAACGATAGTCATTTATTTTCAAAAGATCTATACCCTTTGACTGCTTTCACCCCACTCCTCAGCCCCTAGCAATCTACTCTGTTTCTAGGAGTTTGGTTTTTTTAGATTCCGCACAAGATGACACAAAATTTGTCCTTTGGCTTACATCACTTACCATAATGCCCTCACGGTTCATCTGTATTGTCACAAATGGCAGAGTTGCCTTCCTTTTTATGGCTGTTTTATGCTGTGTGTGTGTGACTCGTTCTTTATCCATTCATCTATCTGTGGATACTTGGGTTGTTTTCATTAGTTGCTCCTGTGAACAGGAAGGTGCAGGGATCTCCTTGAGATATGGATTGCGTTCCCTTTGGGTATATACCCAGAAGTGGGCTTGCTGGATCATATGCTACCTAATACTTTTAATTTTTGAGGAACATCCATGCTTTTTTCCAGAGTGGCCGCACCAATTTACGTTCCTGCTCACAGGGCACAGGGTTCCCTTCTCTCCACATTCTTGCCAATACTTATATGTACATATATATATATATATATGTTTAAGATTTATTTATTTGAGAGAGAGAGCGTGCAAGTGCGTGTTTGTGTGCCTGTGTGCACGGGGTGGGGTGGGGAGGAGGGAGAAGCAGGCTCCCCACTGAGCAGGGAGCCCGACATGGGGCCTCCACCTCAGGATCCTGAGATCACGACCTGAGTGGAAGGACCTGAGTGGAAGGTAGCCGCTTAACCAACTGAGCCACCTAGGCGCCCCTTGCCAACACTTATCTTTTTGATTGTAGCCATTCTAACAGGTGTGAGGTGATGGCTCATTGTGGTTTTGATTTGCATTTCCTTGGGGGATCAGTGATGTTGAGCATCTTTTCATGTACCTGTTGACCATTTGTATGACTTTGAAAAAATGTCTGTTCAATTCCTCTGCCCATTTTTAACCAGATTATGTGCTTTTTTGCTGTTGAGTTGTAGGAGTTCCTTGCATATTTTGGTTATAAGCCCCTTATCGTCAGATAGGTGGTTTGCGAATATTTTCTCCCATTTTTTGGTTCCTGTTCCATTTTGTTGATTGTTCCTTTTGCTGTGCAAAAGCTTTTTAGTTTGTCATAGTCCCACTTGTTTATTTTTGCTTTGCTTGTACTTTTGATGCTATTTCGAAAAAATCACTGTGAAGACCAGTGTCATAAAGCTTTTTCCCTATGTTTTGTTCTAGGAGTTTTATGATTTTAGGTCTTACATTTAAGTCTTTAATCCATTTTGAGTTTTTGTGAGTGGTGTAGGGTGGGGATTGAGTTTCATTCTTTTTCATGTGACTTTTAATGTGCTTTTGAATTCAGTTTCTCCAGCACCGTATTGGAGACTGTCTTTTCCTCATTGAGTGTTCTTGGCTCCCTTGTCAAATACTACTTTACTGTATACGCATGGGCTTATTTCTGGGTTCTCTTCTATTCCATTGGTCTTATATGTCTGTTTTGATGCCAGTACCATCCTGCTTTGATCACTCTACTGTTTTTATGCCAGTACTGTACTCTTTTGATTATCATACTGTTTAAAATCAGAACATTGATGCCGCCAGCTTTGTTGTTCTTTCTCAAGATTGCTTTGGCTATTTGGGGTCTTTTGTGGTTCCATATGATTTTTAGGATTTTTTTCTTCTATACCTGTTAAAAATATTGTTGGACTCTTGATACAGGATTGCACTGAATCTATAAATGGATTTCAGTAGAATGACATTTTAGCAACATGAATTCTTCTGACCTGCACACATGGGACGTTCTGTCATTCGTGTCTTCTCAGGTTCTTTCATTGGTCTTGTAGTTCTGAATGTGTAAGTCTGTACCTCCTAAGTATTTTACTGTTTTTGGTGCCATTGTAAATTAGACTGTTTTATTTCTTTCTCAGACAGTTCATTGTTAGTATGCAGAAATGAAATTGACTTTTGTGTGTTGATTTTGTATCCTGCAACTTCACTGAATTTGTTAGTCCTGACAGTTTTTTGGTGCTGTCTTCAGGCTTTTCCTATGTATAATAGTATCACTTGATGATAACAGGTAGTTTTACTCCTTCCTTTCCCGTTTGGATGCTTTTTCTTCCTTTTTCTTGCCTGATTGGTCTTGGCTAGGACTTCCACTGTGTTGCAGAGAGGAGGTAAAAGTGAGCACCTTTGTCTTAGTCTTAGTGGAAAAGCTTTCACTGCTGAGTATGGCGTTAACTGCGGACTTGTCACGGATGGCCTTTGTTCTGTTGAGGTACGTTCTTTCTGTACTTCATACGTCAAGAGTTTTTATCATGAACAGGTGTTGGATTTTGTCATTTGTTTTTTCTGTCTTACTGAGGTGATCATACGACTTTTATCTATCATTCTTTGATGTGTCACATTTACTGATTTGCATATGTTGAGCCATCCTTGTATTTTAGGCAGGAATCCCACTTGATCATGGGGCATGATCCTTTTAATGTGCTATTGAATTCAGTTTGTTAATATTTTGTTGAGAACATTTGCATCTATATTCATCGGGCATATATATTAGCTTGTAGTTTCCTTTCTTTGTAGTGTCATTACCTGGCTTTGGTATTAGACTGATGCTGGCCCCCTAAAATGAGTTTGGCAATGTTTCTCCTCTTCAGTTGTTTGGAAGAGTTGGAGAAGGGTTGGTATCATTTCTTTAAATATTTGGTAGAATTCGCCAGTGAAATCATCTGGCCCTGGGCTTTTCTTTGTTGGTGCTAGAGGCCTGCCCTTAAGCACAGATTTCAGGACCTGGATTAGAACCAAAACTTCTGACCCTGCCCAGGGTTGAGATGGCCAGACCTCTTTATGCATCCCGCTTCGGGGAGGTAGGAGCAGTGAGTGCTCGTAAACCCTTTGCCACCTGCCTCCAAGGTTACTTGCCCGTTCTTGTACTTCTCCTCGAGAGCCCCCCTGGGGACAAGAGAAAGAACTTGAGTGGAGTTTGTGACCATTAGAGAAACAAAGTGTTACTCAGGGCCTGGGCCTGAGTCATTAATCCTGCAGATGAACTTCTACAGCTCCCATGCCCTGGCATTTCGAGAGACAGGAGCCTCTCTTAGAACACAACCAGTTCCTTTTTTTTTTTTTAAAGCTTTTATTTATTTATTTGACAGCGAGAGCGAGGGTGAGTGAGCACAAGCGGGGGAGTGGCAGAGGGAGAGGGAGAAGCAAACTCCCCGCTGAGCAGGGAGCCCGAGGTGAGGCTCGATCCCAGGACCCTGAGATCATGACCTGAGCCGAAGACAGATGCTTAACCATCTGAGCCACCCAGGCGTCCCAGCCGGTTCTGAATATAAAATTTTTGCTCTTCATTTCTTCACACATCCAGCTTCTTATCTAGATCCTGTTGAGTTTGCTTATTACCTTGTATGTGATTTAAATCAAGGCCCGTCAGATAAAACGGACTGAACAATTATTTATTTATTGACCGGAAAGGCAACCCTATAAATAACTCTACTTCTGATTGCCCAAGGGAATTAGTATTTCTGCCTTAAAAAAAAAATTAATTTGCCAGGTGAACAGAAAGAATCCCAGTGATGGCCCTGTAGGGGGCAGTGTATCTGTAAATGATTTTGTGTTTTCTGGGGAGTCTAGACTAACAATGTTGACTAACCAGTCAGCCTTGTAATGCAGGCTTGACCTCCCTCCCAGTTCCTCAGTGCACGTGGGCTCTTCATTCATTGCTGGGAAGGGTAAGGTGCCAAGGAGAGAAGAGGTTTGTCTGGTTCTGGGTGACAGCATCTTTTAGTCAGTCAGTCGTGACTTCCCTCAGGAAACGTGCATGGAATTCCTGCTGTGTGCCAAGCCCTGGGGTGGGACCCCCTGGCCCTCACAGAAGCAAGACACCCCCCGAGTCCTGCCTGTGGACATGAGTCTGGAGGGGTGGACAGACCAAGAATAAGTGATTTTGAACGAGATGGGTATTACAAAGAACAGGTGTGGGGGCCACAGCAGTGTGTTGAGGGGCCAGCTGAGCCTCTAGGGAGGTTGAGGAAGGCTGCCCAGAGGCGGCAGTGTTTATGTGGGCCTCTCAAGGTTGACAGTTAGCTAGGTAAAAGAGGAAGTGAGGGGAGAGTGCCTTCCAGGTAAAGAGAACAGCATGTCCACGGCTCTGAGGTGGTAAGAACAAAGTTCTGTGGGGAGCCGAGAGAACTCCAGTTTGCTGCTGGGCGCACAGTAAGGACAGAGTCAGACACCGAACCTCGGCTTCGGGCATACTGTACCCCTTTCTCATTGCCTTCGTGGATGGGAATGGGAGGACGGGGTTGGTGTTAGCCTGGCACGTCTCTCTGACCAAGTGAGCAAGCGAGCGAGCCCTTGTTTCGGTGGAACTTTGTTGCCGGGATGTGTCCGTCTCCCTCTGGCTCGGCGCTCCAGCCTCAGCTGTGCTGGCCTCCAATGACGGGAACTGCATCTTGCTGGTTTAGGTCCAGGGCGAGTTGCTGGCACTCAGTAGATGCCCGGTAAGTGTGCTTTTAGTTGAGCTGAGCTGAGTTTCCGTGTCACTTTCTGTCTCAGAGTGGACCAGGATGAGGATGGCCCGGAGGAGGAACATGTAACTAAGGTGAGACATTGCGTCCTGGGGATTCTGGGATTGGGCCTGAGTCCAGGGCTCTGTGTCCCTTCCCCGGCTGCTTCTCCTGTCATCGGCAAAGAGCCTCCGGCCTCTGCCCCAGACCTCAGTGCTGAGGGGCTCACTTGGCAGGCCCACGGACCAGTGGTGTCGGTCTGCGGGGTGGGGGGGGTGGGGGCAGGCCTGAGCAAGAGCACCCTGCCCTTTGGCTCCCTCTCCTCTTGTTTGTGTTTTCATGGGCACAGAGTGCTTTGAGGTACGAAGGGTTCTGAGACCTGTCACGTTTAAAAACATTTGGTTTTATTCGTGTAAGACTTCTGTTTTCTCTGCTGAAAGGTATTTCCCCCATGGCTCTTTTCCTCGTCTTGCTCTCCGCAATCTCAGGAGCATAGAGCTCAGCTCACCACCCCCCCGCCCCCGCCCGCCCTACTGCGAGCCTGGCCCCCAAGGCCTTTGGGCGGTGTGTGTGGACGGCCCACCCCCGACACGCCCCCCCAGAATCTAATCTTCCCCACTTGGGAACCTCAGCACGGGGAGGCAGCCTGTCCTAAGAGGACCAAACCCTGTGAAGTGGCTGGATTCTCGGCTGAGCAGGACTGATGGCAGGAGCTCCATGTTGTGGGTGTTCTTGTGAACTTCTGGAGCTGAGGGGGAGGTGGGGACTGCCTGGGCCCTGCATTAGCTGAGATCTGCTGTGGGGCGGAGTCCCGTTGCTTTAGGTGTGTGTATTTGTGGCCACTCTCCCCAGTCCCTCCGCCTGCTAGGCCATGTATTCCTTGATATGCAGAGAACGGAGATGTTGTAGTCTCCTCTTTGAAATCCCGTGCTTCCCCTCGGAGCAGATTTACTACTGCAGTCGGACGCACTCCCAGCTGGCTCAGTTTGTGCACGAGGTACAGCAGAGCCCCTTTGGCAAGGACACCCGGCTTGTCTCCCTCGGCTCTCGGCAGGTACGCAGAGGCATTGTGTCTTGGCCTGGGTGCCGTCCTGCTCCCTCTCCTGGGCCTTCGTCTTCCTCTTCCGGGCGTGGAAGGATGGTGGATCCAGGGCAGGCCGTGCGACGGGAGGACTGGCCTCTTCTGGTTCTTGGCAGGGCTGGGCAGGCCCCGGAGGGTTGCTGTATATTGTGTAGCCATTGCTGTGGCTCTCTCTTTGTCTTCTGTCTTCTAGAATCTTTGTATAAACGAAGATGTGAAAACCCTGGGTTCTGCGCAGCTCATCAATGACCGCTGCATGGAGATGCAGAGAAGCAAACACGGTAGCCCCCAGCGCCTGGAGCTGTGCAGAGAGCCTCTGGGATGGTCGTGTAGCCTTGGGCAGTGCTGAGAAGGGGTGGGGAGCGGGCCGGAAGCGGACCAGGGACCTGGGAGATGGTGTCTTAAGCAGCAGTGAGGGCAGAGCAAGCAGCTGGGTCCTTCCTTAAGATCGTCTCCTTGGGAAAAGGCGTTTTGCTTTTTGGGTCAGTGTCTAGTCCAGAACCCTGGCTCTGAGATGTTCTTACTGGCTTTTTCTAGAGAACACAAAGTTAAATGCCAGAATGGTGAGACCATCCTAAGCAGTACCGGGAAGGGTTTATTAGACCCCACCCCATGGAATTGGGTCTTGACATTATGGACCTACTGCCGCCACGTGGACAGGGCTCATTCCTTGTGGACAGGGCTTATTCCTTGTGCCTTTGCCCCCTCAGAGAAGAGCAAAGCTGAGGAAGAGAAGCCCAAGAGGAGAAAGCAGGAGCGCCGGGCCACCTGCCCCTTCTATGGCTACGAGCAGCTGCAGCTCCTCCGAGACCAGGTCCTGGTGGGGGTGAAGGACATTGAGCAGTTGGTGGCGCTGGGGAAGGAGGCTCGGGCCTGTCCCTATTACGGGAGCCGGTCTGCCATTCCAGCAGCCCAGGTAAAGACCCTGGAGGGTTGAGCAGTAACTCTTGGCTCTTAACTCTGGCCTCAGCCACGAGGGATTTCCTCATTCCTCTTAATTCGGGAGGATGTCCCTGGCCGTGGTTGGACTGACCAGCACACAGCACCCCGGTGACCTGTCACCCCCTCTGTCCTAGTGCGTGGGGGTGGGGGCAGCCCCCGGTCCCCTGTGGCTCTGGGTTGTAGGAACAGATGGCCTTACTGGGGACAGCACATAAGAACTGGGAAGGGGTGTGCAGTCCTAGAGAAACCAGAGTCTGGGGGCGCGGGGCAGCAGGAAGCTGAAAGGTTGTAGTCGGGGTGCTGTGGAACAGAAATGTGTTTCCAAATGGCCTTTCAGACAAACCGTCCTGATGTAGGCACCTATCTGCCAGTGTGGGAGAAGACTGTCTTCTCTAGACTTGCCATGTTGAGTCTCATCTTTACACACAGAGAAAAACTGCCCATTTGACAGATCAAAAATATTGTTATTTGGTATGATTTTATTGTCTTCTTGCTATTGCTTAATTCCAGTGACTTTTGGAAATAGGGTTTCATTTGTGGAGAATTCCATATATGCAGGAAAAGATTAGGTAGGTTTTCAGAGATTCAGGGAACAACGTTAGTATTGATTTTACACAGCAGTTAAATGCTTGTTAGTATACTGCCCTGAACTGTTGCATGGGTGCTCAGAGGGAAATTCCAGAACCTTCCCAGCCCCCACCGTTGTTGCACGCCCTTCATGGGGTCTGTCTGCCACGTCGCCTGATCAGTGCCATAGATACCTGTGTGTAAATATGATAAGATGTCCTGAGATTTTTGTGATCTTAACTTTTTGAGACACTTGTCACCTCATTTTTGCTTTGTAGTATCCCACTGAAAAAGCAAAGGCAGGTATTATCCATACATACACATGTGGACACAGGCCCAGAATGGCTAAATGATTTATCTGTTTTCTCACGGCAGGTGGATAATGGAGCCAGGATTAAAGCTGGGCCTTAAGTTTCCAGTTTTCTGGAGTTTCACGTTATCAGTATTCTTTTAACTGGAAAATCGTCCTCACAAGTAGCACCTAAAAATTTACAGAATGTGTTTATTTTTGTTGCCCCCGTCCTCTAGCCCTTAGCCCTCATTTGAGATAGAGTTTATCAAGTCTCTTTTGCCCACGAAGAAACTGAGGCTCAGAAAGGTTAAGTGACTTTCCCGGAGTCACACAGCTGGGAAAGTGGCAGCCCTAGGACCAGAATGCAGGGCTACCTTCTAGTACACCAGGGGTGTTCACTGTGTTTTGAGGAATCGCGGGTGCTTTGGGGGCTACCTCGGGGGTATGGATAAGGCTGAGCAGGGGTTCCACACTCCTCTCTGCTCCCCTTTCCCCACCCCCACTCTTGGTTCGGTCAGAGTCAGACTGGCTCCGGTTTTGTCTGTTTCATATTTGATGTTCCACAGAAAACTTGAGACAAGGGTCTGTTGCTAAAAGCACAGTACTGTGCTATAGCTGTCCCTGCGCACATCCTGGCTGGGAACTAAAAACTGTTCGCACCAGGCACTTAGAGTAGGTGGGGCACACCTGCCAGAGCAGGGAGCCCTCCCCACCCCACTGCTCAGGTGGCCGCTCCTCTCCCCAGCTCGTGGTGCTACCCTACCAGATGCTGCTGCACGCGGCCACCCGCCAGGCTGCGGGCATCCGGCTGCAGGGCCAGGTGGTGCTCATCGATGAGGCCCACAACCTGATCGACACCCTCACGGGCATCCACAGTGCGGAGGTCAGCGGTTCCCAGGTGGGTTGGCCTGTCCTTTCTTGGGCCAGGGCCTGCCGTGGGGCAGAGGGATGTGGAGGGATGTGGATCATTTCTCTAAGCCCTGGAATTGGTCTGGCGATGGCTTGGGAGAGGGTGCCCTGAGTCGAGGCAGTGGCCTCGTCGGGGGGCTAACTGGCTTTCCAGCAGGTTGTAGAACTAGGGGGACCCAGCTCAGGCGAGGTGGCTCATTTTCTTGCTCCTCACTGTCATAGGTCAGTCATCCTGAGTCCCTCCAGCACAGGATGCTAATACCTAGTTCTCTCTAGGCCAGAGAAGTGAAGGAAGCAGGGGTCCTCACATAGTTCGATGTTGTTAGCCTTGCTTTGAGGGATGCTCAGGGTTTCTGAGAGCCACAGTGGATTGATTGCCTCTTCTGTGCCATGCACCGTGGGCAGTATTGTGAATTTTCACACTGCCTCCGGGTGGGCTGGTGTTCCTAGTTAACACTGAGAACTCTGAGATTCAGGGGGCATTTAAGCAGTGTGCTGAAAGTCACACAGCTCATGAATGTGGAGCCGGGACTTGACCACTGGTTTCTGACCCTGAGGCCCACATGGCATCCCACAACTTTTTTTTAAAGATTTTATTTTAGAGAGAGAGTGCGTGTGTGCGTGCATGAGGAGGGGGAGGGGCAGAGGGAGAAGGAGAAGCAGACTCCCCGCTGAGCAGGGAGCCTGATGTGGGGCTCCATCCCAGGACCCCGGGATCATGACCTGAGCCGAAGGCAGACACTTAACTGACTGAGCCACCCAGGTGCCCCCCACCACTTCTACTGCCTGTGTTGACCTTAGGCCAGGGTGTAATGGCTACCTTGAACCACCTCTGTGCTCAGTGGAAAACACATCTTTGCCCAACGCAGTAGAAATTAGTAGGGAGATTCATTACCTGAGAGATTGAGCTTCTTGCTTTTTTCCCTGACCCAAAGAGGATATGGCAGCAGATCCCCCCCCCCCTTCGCCTCTCAGCTCCCAGTGCCCTCAAGGTCTTTTGTCTGTACCCAGGCCTACTCTCTTTACCTGCTTCCCATGTGGCCTGGCTGGAATTTTCTAGGCATAATCTCAGATGTCATTCGCACAGCTCTCGGCTGCTTGCCCAGAGCCTGGGCTTCTCTCACGCCCATTCTCTGTTCTCTCCAGCTCTGCCAGGCCCATTCCCAGTTGCTCCAGTATATGGAACGATATGGGTAAGACGCTGCCTCCTGAAGGGGAGGGGAAAACCCTGCTCGGTTTCTGAAAGCCCTGGGGTCTCCATCTCTGGCCCAGGCCCAGTGCCAGGGAGGCCAGCGGGTTATTCCCCTCCTGTTCATCGTGGTGTGTACCCCACACGGGCCGAGGATGCTCGGGACGCAACAGCTGGCTATGAGGGCCTTGGGCCATGGCAAGCCTTCTTTTCTGGGGGCATATTTATCGCTCGTGGCCTGCTTTGAAAGACACTAGACAGAAAGGCATCGGCTTGAGGCACTTGGAAGGGAAGTTGCTTGTGGAGTACTACCACTTGATGTCCGTTGGTGTCTCCTCAGGAAGCGTCTGAAGGCCAAGAACTTGATGTACATCAAACAGATCCTGTATCTGTTGGAGAAGTTTGTGACTGTGTTGGGTGGTAAGGAGCACCATGCCCACCCTAACCCCTGGCCTGCTAAGCTTGCTGTGGTCCATTCCCTGGATGCCAGTCAGGACACCTGGGTTTTCTGCATCCTCAGGAATTGTCTTGGCCACTGATGGAGAAGATTCTTATTTCTTATAAGCTTATAGCTTAGCTGAATTGTCTGACCTTAGATCCTTTTTTAGATTCCTGGTTTATTTCTCCTTGTTCTGAGTCCTTTTTATTTTGCCAGACCCTACTCCCCAGGTAGTAATAACAGCCTAGTGTAACAGGACTGTGTGGAGTCACTTTGGAGTGCGCCTCTGAGGAGAGCAGCCCGCTCACCCTCGTTGACAGATGAGTAAACTAGAGCTCAGAGCAGGGATGTGACCTGCCTCTGCTTCATGAACCTAGTAGGGGGACTCCTGTGGCTCCGAGTCCCACAGTTCCCTGTCACCTACCCTTTCCTTTGCTGCACGGCTGTCCACCTGAAGGCTTACATACCTGCTGAAGTTCAGGAAGCCAGGGGAGCATCTTGCAGGAGGGATTTTGTCGAATGCTGGTGCTTTTCCCTTCCATCTCTCCTTTGTGGCTGCATAAAGTAGGGTGGTCACTCGGTCCCAGCCTCCTTGGAGGAGGTGTGAAAAGAATGAAATCCACAAGGCTTTGGGCCCCATGTGCAAATGTGGGTCAGATTTTGAGGCTCCCCTCAGTGGGTTTTTTGGGTACTTATAAATGGCAAAAAAAATCCGTTCAAATATGAATGCTCTTATTTGAGGAGTACAGTGTTCAGTGTGAGAAGCGGGGGGGGTGGGTCAGAGAGTCACCATCCTGACCTGCTTGAACTTTGTTTTAGGGAACACGAAGCAAAATCCCAACACACAGAGCCTTTTGCAGACAGGTAAGAGGACTGCCTCCAGAGGCCCGGAGCTGCTCTGAGCCGGTTCTGAGCTCACCTCGGGGACCGTGGTCTTCAGAGTAAGGATTCCAGGGCCCTTTGTTTACCCCTAGGGACAGAGCTGAAGACCATTAATGACTTCCTCTTTGAGAGCCAGATCGACAACATCAACCTGTTCAAGGTAGAGATTTTCACCGTTTTGTGTCCGTACATCCCATTTTCTTATCTTTATTACCACTTGTGAGCAGAACACTGTGTGAAGACGGAGGAATAGAAAGTAAATTTCTTCTGTCCTTAAGCAGTCTAGAAGTCTGAGGATCTACAGCATACATGTTCTAATTATTTAACCCTTAAAGCATTGCATCAGCAAGAAAAAAACAGTCTTCAATCCAGGGTTGAAGGGTCCTAGGGATTGGTGAGAAAAGGTTCCTTTCATTGTCCCAAATAGGCAGAAGTAGAAATTCCCAGGTCTTTTGCCTTGTTCCATCTTTCTTCCGGCATAGTCTTTGCCCTGGGCTTCTAGTCCGAGCAGGAGGTTAACTTCAGGAGCATGATCCTGCTGTTGGGCTGAGGTGGCTGAGAACTCCCTCGCCTCCTCCCACTCCAGCCTTGAGCTTGAGTGCAGCCTCCCGTGGTAGCTCGCTCCGGGCTCGCTGTGCAGGGTACCGCCACCTTCGCTCAACTCACGACTCAGGGATTCTAAATTACTAATAATACAGAGCGCTTACTGCGTTCAAGGCAACGCACCAGGTTCTGTGACTCCAGGGTAGGATGTACCATCACTGTTCAAAAGCAGAGGGACCCAAGGCTGGGAGAGGTTACCCCAGGAGGGACAGGCCCAGGCCGCACACAGTGAGCAGTCGGTGCCTGGCGTGTGAGCGCCCCCCCCCCCCCGCCCCGCCCGGACTCCTGACCCTGCTCGCTCTCCCTCCTGCCTTCCCATTTGTCTTCACAGCCCCGCAACTTACCCATTTTGGTCCTGTCACTGCCATGACCCCATCAGACAGGCTGGCAATCTGAGGCCTTTTTGATTCCTTTCTTCTCCCCTTGGGTCCCACATCCAAACAGTTGCCGGGCCCCAGAGCCGGAAATAGCTCTTGAACTTCCGCGGCCTTTCCATTCCCACGGCTGCTACGTCAGGACAGGCACTTTTCCTCTTGCCTTCTCCCTGCTCTCCCTCATTTCACTCCCTCTCCCTTCTGATGTCTTTCCTACACTATAGTCTAGTGGAGCTCCCCTGAAAGGTCACGCTCTCTTTCGAAATCTTCCAAGGCTTCAACGCCCTGTCTCCCTCCCAGGCTGCGCGTAGTGTACGCACCCGACATCCCCAAACAAGCCCCAGGCTGTACCTCTTTCGTGCCTTTGCTCCGAGAGGTTTTTTTTAACTCTTGATCTTTCAAGGTTCAGCTTAGGTGCTGTCACATTGAAGGAGAACGGAGGGGACCTGTCACCAGTACCTTTAGAGAGGGTCGGAGCCGTGCACACGTTTGTGAGGGGACCACACGCATGAGGCTTGCTCTCGTGGGAGAGCACCGCGTTGTGTGTGGGGGCGGCAGGAGAGGCGTGACCTCAGCAGGGTGACACGCCTGGCCACGAGGAGGCTGTGGGCTCCTCAGGAGGTGGCAGGGAGTCCTGCTCCCTGGGGTTCGGGAAGGTGGCAGTTTCTGTCTTCCAGCTAGTTGTTGCTGGTGCCTGCAGCGGGTTTGCTTTCGCAGGTGCAGCGCTACTGTGAGAGGAGCATGGTCAGCAGGAAGGTGCGCCCTCCCCTTTCCGGCTCTGGCCGGGCTCCGCGGCGCCCCAGTGCTGCCCCCAGCCTTTCAGACACTCAGGTCACCTCTGCTCCCTTCTCCTTCCTATAGCGCTGCTTGCTGGGGGCAGGGGGTGGGGAGTTGCGGGCTGTATGGGGTGTGGCAAAACCTCCCTCCAGCCGGGGCTCCCACTGCTGCACCCTCATTCCTCCCTGCGCTCTCTTACCCCGTCCCAGCTCTTCGGCTTCACAGAAAGGTACGGCACAGTCCTCGCACCCTCCAGGGAGCAGCCCAAACTGGCTGGGTTCCAGCACTTCCTGCAGAGCCTGCAGCCCACAGTGACCCAGAGTGAGTCAGAAGGCTGGAGACTGCACAGCAGGCGGGGGACGGGAATGTCCGCGCCTCACGCCTGGACTCCACTCCCTGGGAGAATGGCTTTAGCCTCGCTGCAGGGGGCCCTGCCGCCTCTGTGGTCCCAGAGCCTCTTCTCTCTGCTCTCTGCAGCCTCTGTGACCCCTGTGGAGGAGGGCGAGGCCAGGGTGCCACGGCTGGCTTCCCCACTGATGCACATCGAATCCTTCCTAGCAGCCCTCACCACTGCCAACCAGGATGGCAGGGTCATCCTGAGCCGCCAAGGTAATCCGAAGGAGGAGCCGGCATGGAGCTGCAGAACCAGAGCATGAAAAGACTGGATCAGGAAACAGGGTGGTGATGACTGGTCCCTGTGGCCTGGTGGGGTGGTGGTGGTGGAAGTGTGAGGAGGGGTGTGAGGAAGTAGCACGGTGGGGCGTCTTGGGCCAGGCTGCAAGAGATGGGTAGGTGGGTTTTGGTTTGAGTCTTGATTTCATGACCTCTGAGCTGTGTTTATCTCTCTGAAGATAAATGTGCAAAGGGAGGGGATAGTGCTGTCTCCCTCAGGGTTGTCCTGGAGATTAAGTGGGATCTAATCAAAAAGGAAAGTGGTATCTTTCGTGGCTCCTATGTAGACACAGCTGAGCTCCCCTCTGCCTCAGACTCACGGAAGTCTTTGTTGGGCCTGCAGCCCGCCTCCTGCCCCATGGAGCTGTCTCTGTCTTTTTTTTCAGGAAGCCTTAGTCAGAGTAGCCTCAAATTCTTGCTCCTGAATCCAGCTGTGCACTTTGCCCAGGTGGTGAAGGAATGCCGGGCCGTGGTCATCGCAGGGGGCACCATGCAACCGGTAAGAGGACCAGAGCCAGCCTCCTGTACCCCAGGTGCTGGGACGGGACAGTGACAGGGGAAAGATGCACCGTCAGGCCTCTTCCCGTCCAGTGGGCCCCCAGACCGGAAAGGGGTCAGCATGAGCAGGCTGAGCAGTGTCCACTGGGTGGCATTGCTGTACTGTCTCATGCCTGGGCCTTTAGCCCTGGGTGAGGGGCGGGCGAGGGTGGGGGCAAGGGCACTGCCGCTGATTTGGTGCTTCTGGAGCCACAGGACCACACTTCTCCCAAAGACAGCTGTTGTGGAATTGCAGGCCCTCATTCGGTGCCTTAGCACCGTTCCTTTCTTAGACCCACCATAGATGCCACCTTCCCTCTCTTATAAGTTCATAGACACACACACGTACATAGGAAAGTATTATGCTTTCATTGTAGAAAGCAGAGCCCAACAAAAGGAAAAAAACATCATAATTCCACCAGCAAAAGATTTATTTTAGTGTATGTCGTTACAGTCTTTGTGTGCATAAGTTTTACAAATCTACATACATATTTTAAAAACAAAAATCTATCTCTACATGCTGTTGCTACGATTTGGTTTTTTCACTCAGCAACAAAATGCCGTAAACATTTTTCAGGAAGTACATACGCATTTGTTCTACCATGCTCTGGCTCTACTGCATGAACATACTCTATTTTGTAGAACTACTCTTCTTGTGTTAGGTATTCAGGTGATTTCCAGTTTTTCTCTGTTTTGAGCAACACGGGCACATAGAACCATGTCTGCGCACAGTGGTCCTGTCCTCAAGGTACGCCTGGCACAGGACTGAGCCCGTGGAAGGCTCCTCGGTGCTCACGTGCTCTGGTCCCTCTCCTCAGCTGCTAGAACCACCCCTGTTGCTTTATTTTCCATTTTTCTTTCTTTTGTATAGACTTGCAGATTTTTGTTCACACGTTAAAATCATTTCTAGTCATTGCTGCTTTTGATGCTCAGGTGTCTCAGACTCAGCTCCTTAGAGCTCCCACATGCTGCCCTTGGTCCTTGACGAGGCCCCGTGAGCCTTGGGATGCTTTCTTGCTTTTTGGAATGACAGAATGCAGAATGTCCCAGGTCATTTTATACTTTCTTTGCCCCAGAGCTGGAATCCTTCATTTCTCCAAGATAACCTGACTTCTTTATTTGGGAATTGGTGTGTGGAAACCAACATCTTGGTTCTGGGTGTTTGTCCTGCCCCTGGATTGTAATTGCCTTTAGGCCTTCTGTAGACAGACCAGGGAGAATGGTGTTAAGAAATCATGAGTCCATATTGATATTTCTAAATGAAAATCAGTGAATTTATTTGACCTTACACTGTATCTATTTTCTCTTGAGCTGAACGTTTATTACATTTGCTCTATCTGATTACTTATTTGCTCTATCCCACAGCATACTTCAAATACTTTCATATACTACCAGTATTATTCTAACAGTAAACTACTGATTGAAATTTCATTTCTTTGCATTTATTTTTTGCCCTGAGAGTATATCCTACTAAGGATGTATGGTCACTAAGGATATGAAGTCACTTGAAGTCAGACTTTTCTTTGTGTGCTTCTCTTGTGAATGTGACAGACAGGCTTTCTTGTTGCCATCTGTTTTCAGTTTTAGAGTTTGCTTTTTTATTTCTGACTTAATTTTGTTTTTAAAATATGTAAACACGTATATGGTTCAGAAGTCGAAACCATCTGGAAAGATGCCTTCAGAAAGTCCCACTTCCGTCCATCTCCAAGCTGCTCCCCGTGCCCAGAGGCAATCATTTTTATGACTGCTGGTCTTTCCTTGCACGGTTTCATTGTATTTTTCTGTAAAACTAAGCAAATATATGTACTTTTCTCCTTTCTTTGTTCCTTACATCAGAGGCCGCGGTGCCATGGTTGGGAGGGTGCGGCAAGCGCAAACCACCGGGCCCTCCTGAAGGGCGGTCGTGCGCTCACAGATTGCTGCGCACGAGTGTCCCTGTGCATGGGTTGGCTTGTGAAGCTGTATCTTCAGGGGGCACTCCTGGGTAGGCGGAACTGCCAGGCTAAAAAGTCATACGTCCAACTTATTAACTGTTGTCCAGTTCCCCTCCAGCTGGAGTTCTGTCTCCCACCAGCAGTGTGTGAGCACCTGTTTCTCCCCGGGCGCGGGGGGGGGGGGCACACTTTTGGATTGTTGCCAGTTCAGTAGGTGAAAACCCTGGAGTGCTTTAAAATTACACACGCGTATGTCTTCCCCCGCAGAGGTTCTTCTCCAGAGAGTAGTTGAGGCTGGGCCTGGGCGTGTGGGTTTTGTCTTGAATTCCCACAGGTGATCTTGTTGCATAGCCAGGGGTGAGAAGCACTTTGCCTAGTTTACCAGATTTCCTTTGCTATTCCCACAGTCTCGCTGAGACTGTCCAACACTGGGTATCATTAATTTTTTTCCTCTTTTTGCCAATTTATCTGCCTTACCTTTTACCTCTTTTTCTCTATTTTTATGCACTTAACCGCCTCCCAGCCCAAACTTTTGTCTCCCCCCCGACGTGCGGCTCGCTCTCCCTCCCTCCCTGCCAAGGCCCCCCTGCCTGCTCAGGCCTGTAGCCCCCAGCCCCCTGGGGGATCACAGAGCCCTGCCTTGTGGTCTGCAGGTGTCTGACTTTCGGGAGCAGCTGCTGGCCTGTGCTGGGGTGGAAGCTGAGCGAGTGGTGGAGTTTTCCTGTGGTGAGAATCCTTGTCCAGGGTGGAATGGGCCACGCGTCACACTCCGGCCCCTTGTTGTCACAGTTTGACCCTGTGCTCTTTTATCAGGCCCAAGGGGCTGAGGAGACCAGAAAGTGGGGGAGCTCCATGCTTTGTCAGCTCTCGCGTGAGCTCACTTGTCTCTGTGCTCCCGCACCGTGTCCTCGACCTGGAGAGGTCTGAGTACGGCCCACGTGTGCTGTGGAAGCAGGCGGGTGGGCGAAAGTGGGAATTGCTCCTCCTGGCATGGAAGACAGGGTTGGGGAATGCTCTTTCTGGACCCTGCCTTACAGAATCATCAGCACCTTGCTTTCAGCCCCTCCCCCGGTCTCTGCAGGTCACGTGATCCCTCCAGACAATATCTTACCCCTCGTCATCTGCAGTGGGCCCTCCAGCCAGCAGCTGGAGTTCACGTACCAGAAGAGAGAGCTGCCACAGATGGTTAGTGCCAGCCTGCTCGCCTTACCACAGCCTTTGCTGCGGCAGGAGAGCCGTTTTGGGGGTGATGGGCACCCTGGCCGGTGCTTAGTGTTCAGGTCTTGGGGAGATGAGCACTGGGGTCTTCCACCACGGAGCCGGCAGAGGCTGGAGAGTGTCCATCCGGATGCTCCTCAGGGGAGGTCTGAGCTTCCCCCTCTTCTCACCCCTTAAGACTGTTAAATACGTTTTCTTAGAACCTCGAGGCATCCTTTCAGGATGAACCTGATGAGAGAGAAAGCTGCTTGTTTCCTTTGGTTCTCTTGGCCATTTGGTTATATTGGTCCCCGCCCTGGGCAGGGATGCGGGGCTTGGGGGCCTGTCGCGAGAGGCGCACCTGGGATTTTCAGTGTCTGATTTGTTGTAGATGGTGCTTAGTCCCCAGTGGCCCACTAGGCATTGGGCGTTGTAGCAGGGAGGCCTCGGCAGCACGCCAGCAACAAGTTTTAGCTCTGGTGCGCTAGCATCGTGATGTGTGTGGTAGGGAGGGGGGCACCTTCCCATCTCTGATCCCTACCCGGGGGGCACTCCCGGCTACAGGTCCTCCCCCATGACTGCAGTCACCCTTGGATCTCTATACTTGGTTTTGAGTCCCAAAGTCAGGAAGCACTGTTTGGATATGGCCTCTGGAATGGCTCCAGGGAGGGCTCTCTGTCTTCCTTAGATGGATGAGACTGGTCGCATTCTCTGTAACCTGTGCACTGTGGTCCCTGGAGGGGTGGTCTGTTTCTTCCCCTCCTATGAGTACCAACGCCAGGTCTATGCCCACTGGGATAAGAGTGGTCTGCTGGCCCGCCTGGCTGTCAAGAAAAAGGTGAGTGACTGCTCAGCTGGAACTCCCACTTGCGAGGACAGTGGCACCCAGAGTTCCTGCTGGGATTTCTCATGCATGTCAGACCAGAAGGTTAGGCCTCGTGTCTGGGCCTCTGTTAGTTCCTTACCCCCACCACTTGTAACCCCTGATCACCTTTGGAGAATTTCCATAGATCCTCTTACTCTGGGGGCTTCTCCAGTTTCCAACCTGGAAAACATAAAGGCCAAGAGCAGAGCTGGGACCCACGCATTCTGAAACCCTTTTCTGGGAGACATTGTCTTTTTTCCTTCAGATATTTCAGGAACCTAAGAGAGCAAACCAGGTGGAGCAGGTGCTGATGGAGTATTCCAGGTGCATTAAGGTGAGACATAACTCTGAGGTCTCGGGTCCAGAGAACAGGGGGCAGCTGCCAGTATCTTGCGTGGCATCCAAGCTTTGGCTCCACAACCTGGGCTGGTATTTCCCACAGTACTGTGGCCAGGCGGGAGGCACGGTGACAGGTGCTCTGCTCCTCTCTGTGGTTGGAGGAAAGATGAGTGAAGGTATTAACTTCTCTGACAACCTCGGCCGGTGAGTTGTGGGCTTCTCATCTCCCAGGCTCCGCTTTTCATCACCCCTCCACAAAACAGCTGATGCTGTCAGAGTCTGCACCCCCGGCTGACTGCTTGGGTCACTCAGCTGTGTGGGGAGGTTCCAGGTGGAAATTAGAGCGTAATCTTGTCAGGACTCCATTCATGTGGCCTGCCCTGGGTCTCTCGACTGAGCACACCTACTCCAGGTGGGGAGGGGAGGCGGGGACTGCAGGCACAACTTGAGGGCCTGAAGGAGCGCTGGATGTAGCTGTTGATGACGTGAGGGTGAGGCCTGGGTCCTTCGTCCTGGCCCTTGGCAAACGCGCTGGGGGCCTGACCGCCCACATACCATGGGCTCGTGTTCCCTCCGCCGTAGGTGTGTGGTCATGGTAGGCATGCCCTACCCCAACATCAAGTCTCCAGAGCTGCAAGAGAAGATGGCCTACCTGGATCAGACCCTAGTGAGTACCTCCCGTGTCCAGAGAGTGGGAGGCGGCGGCCGGGGAGAAGCTGCTGTCGCCTCGGGGGCTGCGGTAACAGGGCCGCACCACTGTGGCCTGCCCACTGCCCCGATGCGTGCCAGTGTTTCCCGTCTGCTCCAGGGGATGGGACGCGCCCCCTTACCCTCTGGAGCCGCTCTGCGGTCTCTGTTAGAGCCGCTGCTGGCCTTGTGCCCGCCACACCTGCCCTTGCTCCCATGCCGAGCGGTGCCATTTTCTCAGAACACTGAGCCGGGGGCGGAGGGGGGGGCAAGAAACACTAACAGGTGCTCTGCTCTGCCCTCCCCAGCCCAGAGGCCCGGGTCAGCCACCACCAGGGAAGGCTTTGGTGGAGAACCTGTGTATGAAGGCTGTCAACCAATCTATAGGTAGGCCTGGGACTGCTCCTGGCTCTTGGGATGCGTGGCTGGAGAATGGGGTGACAGGAAGGAGGGGTTTTCCTTGTCTTTCCGAGGAAGGAGGGGGCACAACGGAAATGTACTGTGGGGGAGGCTGGTTTAAGAGCCCCAACCTCTGTCCCCATCTAGGCAGGGCCATCAGGCACCAGAAGGATTTTGCCAGCATAGTGCTTCTGGATCAGCGGTATGCCCGCCCACCTATCCTGGGCAAGCTGCCAGCCTGGATCCGAGACCGTGTGGAGGTCAAAGCCACCTTCGGTCCTGCCTTTGCTGCTATGAGGAAGGTCGGTCCTGCCTTTTCCTCCCCTCCCCCCGGGAGCTCCCCACCCCCGAGGTCTCATGCCTCACTGCTTCCCCCTGTCGCCTCAGTTTCATCGTGAGAAGTCTGTCCCTTCCTGATGGACGGCCCACCACTGCCTGGGTGCCAGGCCCTTCCTTCCCGCTGCCCACTTGAAAGGTTTGTCTTGGGCCTGCTCTGCGGGGATCCAGCCTAAGAAGGTGAAACCCAGGTGGAGACCAGACCAGCCCCTTTCTGGAGTCAGAGGGCTGCCAGGACCAGGCACAGGTGGAAAAACCAGTAGGAGAACATTAGGTTGATCCTGAAGAAATGGTGGGTCGTGGCCATCCTGGGACCCATCCCGGGGCAGTTCCGCTCCCGGAATTGAATGTTTGCTCACATTCAGCACGGCCCAGAGTCCAGCTCCCCGGCCAGCCTTCTACCGCGGCAGCTCTGTCCTTCCCTCAGTGTCCGCGCACTCACGCGTGAGGTGGAACATGCCCTCCAGTCTTTCAGGCTAGTTTGCTGTTCTAGACCTTCGCCTTCTCTTCAAAACTAGGAACGTTCCCTGTTTTCCAGCCCCCTGGTGCCCATAGGGCTCCTTCTGCCCAGGGGCCCCTGACCACCTCAAGCCTGCCTTCTGTCAGAACTGGGAAGAGAGCCATGTGCTGGCCCCCCCACCTGCTGGTCTCTCTCCCCAACCACAGTGCTGGCCCCTAACCTGTTCCATAGCATAGCTAGCTCCCTGGGCCTGGCTCCACGTCCTCCTCCAAGGCAGTGGCACCTCCTTCCCACTCAGCCACTTGAGCAAGCTTCAAGACACCTCCTCCCCTGACTTCAGCAATGATGCCAAGGGCCATTAGGCTCCCAGCAGGACTATTTTTAGAGACCCTGTGTCTGTCACAGAGACATTTTTCCCTGTGTGAAAATCTCCCTCCCTCCATCTGCAGCAGCCACCCCTACTGACTGCACCTCTCTGCTCTCCCTGACCCAGAGGAAGGGGCCGTGGTCCACTCGGTGCTCTGCCCCCACCACTGGAGCCCAGGCGGAGCGGGAGGACAGGTGTCGGCTTGGAGGAGACGCTTGCCCTCTGCACAGCTAGGCTTCCTTAATTAAAAGTGGTTCTTGCATGATACTGCTGGATCGATTCATGTATTTATTTTAGTCTGTGGCTGGAGGAGAGCACAAGGGCTCCCCGCTCCCAGCCATTTGGCCTCAGAAGCTGGCCACCTCGCTCCTCGAAGAAGGCACAGGCCTGGGACAGTCCTCCACGGGCAGCAGAGGCCGAGAGACCCCCCCCAGGCCAGGCAGCTCGTCCCGGCCGTGTGCACGCTGCAGGGGGAAGGAGGGGCTGAGCCCCTAGGATTCCCAGTCGTCGTCGTCCTCCTCTCCAGGTGGCTGCTGTGGCGGGGGCAGGGGCGGGATGGAGTCTGACATTCGGGCGAAGGCTCCTCCCGGCCCCTCGCTGGCCCCTGGCGCAGGTCCTTTCCCAGAGATACCTGGGGCGGGGGGTGGGGGTGAGGGGGGTTAGTTTGGGATACCTGTTCACCCAGCCGCTAGAGACTTAAAAACAGGAAGGAAAAAGCAGAAGGCGCAGGATACAAAATACCCTGAGGCTCCCAGCCCAGGGAAGGCAGCCAGGCTCTGCTTCCTACCTTTACGCCTCATGACCAGCTTGTTAAAGAGATCCGACATCAGGTCTCCACCTTGGCTTGTGGCTCTCACTGTGGCAGGAAAAAGTCACGGGTCAGATGAGGGGACCAAGGACAAAATCTGCCCCTGGAGTGACCTCCTCAGGGTTTGGTCATATTTCTCCTCTTTTTGCTCACTAGCCACACCTGCCAGCCCGCTTCCCCCCCCCAGCCCCAGCATCACAGCCAGCTCTTGGAGCTGCCGGCCGTCAGTGGGGCCAGCACTGGGGCACTATTAAACTGGCTGTGAGACAAAGCGGGGAGGTAGGAGGGGCCCCGTTGTATGGACCAGGAAACCAGCCCAGAGAGGATGGGCAGTTTGCCTGAGGTCACAGCGCAAAGCTCAGAAACCTAGCTGGAACTCAACTTCGGGACTCCAGGGCACTGTGGCTTTGGGCCCAGGTGTTCTGTTCGTGCTGCATTTAGGATGCACAGCACGCCTAACCTGCAGCCTCGAGAGGCTTGGAGAAGCAGGACTGAGCTAACCCTTCAAGTCCGCAGTCTCTATAGCAGCTCAGGTCCCCACCCATGTCCTGGGACAGCTCCTGGCAGAGTCTGAGAAGATGCTCTGTTATAGTTTGAGCTGGGTTGAAGCTCTTGTCTCCTGGGTGAGGCTCTGTCTCCTATTAGTTTAGAGAGGAAGGTTCTAAGCAGGCTACAAAACCAGGAAGGAACCCCTAGCCCAAACGGGAAGGGTGGGAATGTTAGGGATGGCCGCCCAGGGCTTCCTGCAGACAGCCTGGGGAAAGCATGGGGCAGGTGGGCTGGGTGCTTGCCCCTCTGACCTTTGGGGTGGGCAGAGAGCACCCTGTTGGGAGTCTGGTGGAGGCTACAGGAGAAGGTGGCCCTTTCTTTAGAGCCCCCCTACCGGAGTTGGCTGACGATCCTCACCTTGCTCCTGCTCCTTCTGCTTCTTCTTCTCCAGCTTGCGCTCTTTGACGCTGCGGAGCTTGGCCTTGCCGATGCCGCCAGCCTGGCGGATGGACTCCAGCAGAGTGGCCCGGCCACTGGAGGGGTCCACCACTTCCTTGGGAGCTCCCTGGACTGTAGCTGGATGTGAGGGCAGGGTGTGAGGAAGAGGGCTGCTCAGGCAGGCCACGCTGCGGGACAGCCTTGCCCAGCCTGAGGTTCTGGGGGTCCAGAGGCTTCCCCTCAAGCCTGGCTGTGAGAACAGGCTCTTCCTCTTGAAAAAGGAAGCCAGTGGGTGAAGCCGAGCCCTGGGAGACCGTCTGCAGCCTGGATGCTGCCTGCATCTGCCTGAGCTCAGCAGGTCTTATGTCTAGGCACCCCAGGTCCCTCTCCAACGCCACCTGGGCCACCCCAGAGGTGGATCGTGGGAATCTACTGCTGTGCAGACGGTGTCTGAACTTGACACATGAGCCAACATGGGGTTTTTGTGCCGTCTCTGGGTGCTGGAGATAGACCAGGAGATGTCCTGCTTAAACTGAAATCCTGCAATTTAAGGATATGGATATTTTGTTGCTGAAGCTTTCTACTGTTTTCAGTAGCCGCCCTTTTCCCACTGGTGTAAGTGGGAATGGGGGACCACAGCTCCACCTGTCCACGTCCAGGCTCCCTCTGCCCTGGAGATGAGAATTCTGGGGGGGCTACAGACAGTTTGAAAGCCACTATTTCATGAACCCAGTGGAACAAGATTTTGAAATTAGAACTATTCTAGAATTCATGGTCACATAAACCTACAGGAAACCCTTCAGGGATCCAGAAATTAGAGGCACCCTCAAAGAGCACACGCCCCCTCACTCTGACCCCTCCGTGAACCCTGGTGCTGCTCTTACCTAAAGGAGACACCCCACCACTGCTGTCGTCCTCCCTGGCACCTTGGCCCAGGGAGGCCATGGGCTGGGGTGGCGGTGGGGGAGCGCTGACCAGCACAGCCGGAGCTGGGGGAGGTGGAGGCGGCGGCGGTGGCGGGGGGGGTGCTGTTAGCACCCCATCTTCTGGGTCTGAAACAGAAGTGTGGGAAAGTGTGAGGTGCCTAGGAAAGTGAGTGGCCAAGTAAGGGAGTTCTTGCCCAACTCCTATGCTCAGCTCACCCGGCCTGAAAGTCTCGGCCACCTCTGTTTGGAAGGCGGGCAGCTCTGGAATGGTGCCAGGGGCGGAGGGGGCAATGCCGGGGCCCAGGTCAGCACTGTACATGAGGTCATCGGCGATGCCTGGCAGGTCGGGCAGGTAGGATGGCACGTCAATCTCAGGAACTTGGCCCAGGTCGGGCACATAGAAGTAGTTCTCTGGAACCTGCAGGATTAGGTGGGGGGCACGAGTGGGGGCTGAAGGGGGCTTGGGCCCTGCGGTTTGACCTTGGGGCAGTCAGCAGGACCTCGTGCATACCCATGTACAGCAGGGTGGGAGTAAGGGCTCAACGGACTCCTCACTTAGAGGACGCTGGCAGGGCCCCGCTCCTTGTCCGCTACAGCCGCCCCCCCCCCGCCCCAACAGGCATCATCCGGCTCTACCTGTTGCTCCAGCTGCTCCCTCTTGCTGATGGACAAAGGGGCATCGAACAGCTTCTCCTCTGTCTCCGCCCCCAGCATCACGTGGGTCTTTGTTACAGCACCAGCCAGGGGGTCCAGGAAGACATACTTTTTGTACCTACAGAGGTGGGGTGGATGTCAGGCAGTCCATCTGCTCAAAGCCCATGGTCCTGACCCAGCTTTCCTACTTCACTGGGGCCACAGTTAGTCTGTACTGTGGACTCCGAGGCCTTACAAGGTCAATCAAGCTGCTCGGCTCCGGGTTGCCCAGGCTGCAGACTTCTGCACCGGAGTCTGAGGCCCCCCAGGCCCCCACAAAGCCAGGCCAGGCCACCCAGCCGCCCTCCCAGGGCCCTGCCGTGTGCCGTACAGGTTCTCAGTAGTGTTGAACAACAGCAAGGAGCTGACGGAGCTGATGTTGCTGGGAAGGCCCCCGAGGCCCTCCTCGGCCTCGTCCTCAGGCTCTGGCTTGGTGTTCACACACACGGGGAAGTATTTCAGCTTCTCCTGGCAGGGGCAGGGGTGGTAACACATGGATGGTGGGCTTCAGGGCCAGGCCAAAGTGACCACCCATCCCAGTCCAAATCCTCTTAGGGAAAAGAACCCTCAGTTCCTCCCCGACACCCAGGGCCGCCTCTGGTCACTCCCCGTTAAGTGTGTGAGCCCATGAGACCTGTAGGGCCCACTCGTCCAGGGGGCGGTGCTTGCTCTGGATCCTGTGGCGGGGGCGTCTCTGCAGGCCAGGGTCCTGGGCACCCGTGAAGATGGAGCCATACTCCTGTAGGTGCTCTGGCGCTGGGTACTTGGCACTGGAGAACACCTGTGGACACAGGGAGTCCGAGGTGCTCCAGAGAGTCTAGGGTGGGGGGAGGTGGTCTGAGCAGAAGGAAAGCTTGACGTGTGGCTGGGCAAGGCAGGCAGGGACCTGGGCAACGTCAGGAGCATGGGGAGGTGATAGGGATGGGATTTCTGGGACTGCCTGCCAGCCACGGGGACTCAGGGCCACATGGTCTACCTTGATTGCCTTCTTGCTGCCCTTGATCTTCTCAATCTTGGCCTGGGCCAAGGAGACCCTCTCTCCAATGGCCTGTAGCTGCTTCTGGCTGAGCTCTACTCGCTGAGAGATCCTGCCATGGGAAAAAAAACCCAAAAACCCAGGGGCTGAGGGCTGCTCCCCAAGCCCCTGAAGTCTCCTGCACCCCTGCTTCTATCTGCAAACTTGCAAAGCCAAGGGCTTCGGCAAGGGCCCTTAAAATACAGTGTTACCTGCTTGTCATGGCTGACCTTGAACTGACCTCTGCAGGATCTCTAACCTGAAGGGTCTAGAAATGAGCTCTACCAAGTTCTTGGAGCTCTGGGTAGGAATGGGCAATCACCCTGGCCCCAAGGTGGTACCTGGACGTGCCATCTGTCGGGGACAGGGCCCCTGCTTCCAGGATTTTACAGACTCAAGCAGGGGCAAGCAGAGAGAAAATCGTCATGACTCCTGTACCTACTTGCCTACTTCCAGATGAGGAGACTGGAGCTCCCAAGGAGGAGGGCTGGGCAAAGCTGGGTCTAAATCAAGTCCCAGACCCAATCACAGGGAACTGCCCTGACACATAATAAATGGCTCACGTGCAAATCCAAAGTTCTCACCATGGTTCTGGTGGCTGTGGTCAGAGTGCTCGCTCGGAGGTTTGGCAGGCTCCAGGGACACACAGTGTCCTGCTCTTCCCCAAACGTGCCAAATGTATTACTGTGGGGCCTCTGCCTCAAACGGAGTGCTGTCCCTGCAGACAGCCACGGGGCTGGCTGTGTCACCGAGCACACTCCTCACTGAAGCCTTCCTGCCCACCGACTCTAAACATGCACCTGTCACTTTCCAACCCCCTTCCACACAGAGCCACTTGACATGCGCCTATCTGTGCTCCGAGGGGGTGAGGGTTCGGCTTTGTTCCCTACTGTTCTCCCAGCGCCGGCAGCTGGAGAGGCTCCCTGAATGGCTAACACCCACGTGCCCTAAACGTAAATGCACAGGAGCCTCACGCTGTCCCACATTACTGAGCAACGGCAAGGGTCTTCTCACTGCAGAGTTGACTGGCTAAACAGGTGCCAGGGCATCCTCCTCCCGATCGCTCCCCCACCTGCAAGAACACCAGCCCCTGCCCATGGCCACCACGCTTCACATTCAGAGAGGGCGCACGTCGGCACTCACCTGGCAGGAGGGAGCACGCAACTGAGAAAGAGGCAGAGCCGCAATCTCAAGTTTACGGGGAAAAGGCAGAGGCTGCAGTGGATGGCAGAGGGGCCCCACGGTCTCTGGGGTCAGAGACGATGCACCCAGGGAACGCCAGGATTTCCTTAAAGGTTGAACGGCCAAGGCTCTGGACCAATCTTCCTAAATCAAACCCCACCAACTCTAGAGGATTCTGGTCCCCCAGAGAACCCGCCAGATCAGCCAATTTCACAACCCAGCGGTCTCAGTTCCCTGCAGTCTCCCTGCTTACTCCTGGCTCCTTATGTGTAGGGGGCTCAGTGAGGTGGGGGGCTGGGGTACAAGCAGGGACCCAAAGCAGCTTAGTCTTCCCTGGCAGACTGGGCTGCATGGCGGCAAAGGAGAGAGAGAACAGAGGGCAGAGTTTCCTTCCAGTGAGAGAACGTAGAACCAGACTTGCATGAGCTCCATCTCTTCTGGCAGGAAGAAAGGTCTGCATGCACTGAGAAAGGGTACTCACGCGCAAGCTACCTCCTCCAGCTCCCAGTCCGACCACATTCTGCCCCCGGGGTGTGGAAGCCACCTCAGTGGTTATATGACAACTTGGCGTGAAGTCAACATGGAGAGTGGGAGGGACAGCAGAACTAGAGAGGGACAGAGGCTATTCTGTTCCGGTTCTTCCATCAAGGAGAGCAGGGCTGCTCTCTCTAAGTTGCAAACATAAAGCTTAACCATCAACTCCGGCAAAGTTCCAGAATGGATGATTAAGTCGAGGGTCTGTAAGCACTTCGAAGAGAAAGAGGCAGATCCCAGGGGCCAGCATTGTTCTAAAATCACAGGATTTCTTTTTTTTGACAGGGTGATTAGGCTGCTGTATCGGCGGAAAACCTTAAACACAGTGCATCTTGAGTCAGCAAAGGTCCTGACGGCTTCTCACAAAATCCTTGGACAAGATGGAGCTATGGGGGTTGGAGGAGAGCACATTTAGGAAAAATCAGAGCCCGATGAGCAACAGCACCCAAAGGGCACCGCTGAAGAACGGACTGATTTCAGCCTTGCACAAAGGTCTCTGGCAAGGCCCCATTCAGCCCACGAAACCCTGGGTTAGTAAACTGGAGATATTGAACGGAGGAGGGCCAAAACGGTCTGCATGGGGAATCAAGACTCAAATAATCTTGAGAGGCCAGAAGGACGGACTGCAATCAACAAGATGAAGTTGACAAGCGATGAAGTCCAGCACTTAGGTGTAAAAAGTCCAGTGCACAAACACACAAGATGGAGGGCTAGCAAGGCCTGAGGTTTTGGTTAACCAGAGCTCAGTGAGAGCTAAGAGTGTGTTAAGCAGCTTGAGAAGGAAATGGGATTTGGGGGCACACAGCTCCTTGTCCCTCCTCCCTTCTTTCAGTAAACAGGGGACATCCACTCTCTTGGGGGCACTAGAGAGAAAACAGACCCCAGACTGTTGAGCTAATCTGTGCTGGGCACCAACCTCTCCACAGCTACATCCCCTTTAAACTGGATCCACATTTTAAGAGGACTCTGAATTCCTTCTAGACTAACTATAAGGTCTGTCTTCATTGCTGTGTCTCTAGCACCTGGGACTGTGCCTGACATGTAACAAATACTGGCTGAATGTAAAGTGACAAGTTCAAGAACGTCCAAAGGAGGGTGATGAGGATGGTGAGGAGGGAGCCACTCATGTCCTACAAAGACGACTGAAGGGTGTTCTGGCTACAGGGTAGGTGACTTAGACAACATGGTAATTCCCTCCATATGTCAAAACCATCACAAGTGCTGGCGGGTGGAAAAGCGATTGCTACTTATTCTGTCGCCCCAGCAGGCTGCAGGAGGACCAGTGGGTGGAGTTACAAGGAAGTAGATCTTGGTTCTGCACAAGGAGAACTTTCTAGTAAACTTTCTTTCTAGGAGAGCTTTGCAAATCAGATTCCAGCAGGATGAGCACCTGTCAGGAATGCTCCAAGGGAGGCTGCTGTGGTGGGCAGGGGAAAGAAGACAGGATTTCCAGGGTTATCCAAGAGCCTACCAGCCCAGTGATGGCCTGCTTGTTGACAAAGCCCCCAGTCAGTCTAGTCTCTCACAGTTGGGAGCCGCGGTGCCGAGAGCGCAGAGCATGGGTGAAAGGGCCCTCACGACAGGCAGTGGCAGTGCCAAAGGCGGCATTAGGAAGGCCCGGCAGGACACACGCGGCTGGGACGGAGTGCCACGACCGATCAGCAGTGTCCTCCACGCAGGCGGGGGAGAAGTGGCAAGGGGGCGATCTGTTTGCCTTTCCTCATCTCCACCCCCTGGCTTGGTGGTCTGCTTCAAGGCAGGTCAGTTTCCAAGCTTACCACTGAAGCCAAGTCCCCAAAACACATTTGTCCAGACCCCAGGGCCGCCTCTGTGGGCGTCAGGAATGGAACTGGCTCAGTCAGTCTGCTCAGAGCCTGGGACGGAGATGAATCAGGGAGCACACATCCCCCAGGGAGATAAGTGACTAGTGTGCCCCACAAACCTGGCTTTAACATCTACTTAGCAGCAGTGTGACCCTGAGCAAGTCACTCAACTGGCCTATGCCTCGGGCCTCTTCAGCTGCAAAGCAGGGACGGGGACTTCTATACCATGGAATTACTGTAAAGCTTAAAATGAGCAACCGTGTGCCCAGTGTTCCCATACTAGCGGATGGGTCCTCAGTGCTATTACTACCCACAAGGTTGGGGGGATGAGGGGCTCCAGGCGCTCAGAGGAAAGCAAGAAGAGGCGGTGCTGAGCAGACATGGGGGAGGATGGTCCAGGCCGAGGAGGCAGGCACTTCACAGGGAACACCGTGGAGGCGGAGGGCAGGGCTACCGGAAGCGGCCCCCGGGCGGGGGGGGGGGGGGGGGGCCCTCCCCCAAGCCCCACAGGGACCACTGCTTGGGCTCCGGGGGCCCCACCTCCCATGCTGACCCTCCCACTCCCTCACAGCCACAGCCCCGCAGCAATCAGCACCCCTGCACGCCTTCCCACCTGCCCACAGGGGCTGCTGGGGAGGAGGGAGCACCAGCCTCTCCTTGGCCTGGCGGAGCCTGAACCTGCGCCGGCCTTACCTCCTCCGCTCCCGCTGCTGAGGACTGCTGTGCTAATGACGCAGGCAGCTGACTGAGCGCTTCCTAACCTTGGGAGTCACCAGGTGCCAGTCGGCGGAGGAGGGGAGGCAGGGGGGAGAGGCTGGGAAAGGGGGGAGGGAGAGAAACGAGGAAAAGAAGAGAGGAAGGAGGGGTTGGAAAGACCAAGGAGAGGAAGGGGAAAAGCTTGGCAGAGAAAAGGAATCCTCCCCCAGGCGGTAGCTTCCCTGCCACACGAGGCATGACGGGGAAGGCAAGTGACGGCCCCCCAACTTCCACACACGGAAGCCGTCCGGCTCCTCCTCCCTCCGCCCCTGCAGCCCCCTCTGCCTCGAAGCAGGTGATGTCTCTGGACGGCTACTGTGGGGCCTGGCCTCTCCCAGGTGAGGGAAGGGCAGATCGCCGGGCAGGGAGAGGCGCGGCTCCAGGAGAGCCTGAGAGGCACTTGTCATTCTCTTCAGGCTCCCGGAGGCTCCGGCTGCGGCAGAGCAGGAGGAAGGCGGCCAGCTTGGAATGCTAATTTCCCATGAGCTCCCCTACCTGCGGAACTGGGCACAGGCGCCCCTGGGCCTGAAAGGGGGAAGCGGGGGAGGGGGGGGAAGGAGACAGATACCCACCTGTCTCTTCTGTACAAGAAGTTTTCAAGCCGGTGGAATAAGTTTGAGGGGGAAGAGTCCAAGCCGGGGTCACGCCCCCCCCCACAAAAGCCCATGAAAAATGAAAAGCCCCTGGGGTGTGTGGACTGCTGCAGGATGGGGGGAGGGGTGGTGGTGGGAGAAGCAGGGAATAAGGCTGGGTCTAGGCCAGCACCACCCTCACCAGCCCCGCCCCCTCCCTTTCCTTCATCCTGTTCCCAATCTGTCACCATGTCCTGTCATTATTCCCTCTGAAATGTCTCTTACCCAGCCCTCCCTGCCTGCAGCCGCCCTGGACTGCAGCCTCACCCCTTCCATGCCTTGACTGCAGCAACAGTTCTCAGTGCGTCCCTGGAAGCCCCTGCCTCCCCTCCTGGCCACTCTGTGATGGCTGCCGGCTCAGCCTTCCCTCAGCCCTTCTGTCACACCCTTCCCTGATGCAGAGCCTCCCGCGGCTCCCTGCAAGGCCCGAATCAAGTGCAAAGCCCTGTCCTGTTAAGGGGAAGCCCTCACGGGCCCTAAGTTACTTACCCTAACTGCTCACTCGCCCCACCATCCGTCCCCCTCCCTCTGCCCTGGCACATTCCCGCAGCACTGAGGAGCACAGAAAGAAGCCAGGGGCCAGCTCCCAAGGGCGCACACTCAGAGGGGGAAGCAAGGCCCGCGGACACAGAGAAAGTTGACTCTTCACACCCTGTTCTGCAGTGCAGGAGCTGAATGTCTGGGGCAAGCAGCAACGTCTGCACTCCCAGTACAAAACGACGCCCCCCCCCCCCCCCGTTCAGGCCAGCCTCTCCTGGGGAGCCTGGGATACACCATCCTCCCCATTCAGGCCCCTGAGCCTTTGGGGGTCTTTCTAGACCCCACCAGAGGCTCTGCACACCCACATTCCTACCCCTGCCTAACCATGACCTATCCCTCCTATGGCCTGGTTCATGCCCCTCTCCTTCAGGAGGCCTCCCTTGACCATGTGTGGTAGGCAGGCAGGTTTCCTCTCTAGCATCCACTTCCTCCTTACTCAAGTAAGGGCCCTCCTTTCCTCTGGGGAACCCACTGCTCCCACAGGCTTAGTCCCCGCACTTCAGGTGGGGCTAAAGCCAGGGCTCGGGAGTAATGCACGTTAGGGGGTCTAAGCCCATCAGTGTGTCATGCCCTCTGCCCCTGCAATGGGCTCTGGGATAGACACAAGAACCCAGCCAGGCCAATGGGCCTTCTGAGGAGATGCCGACACAGAGGGTGTCCCTCTTTTCTACTGGACCTGAATGTGAGTGCAGGAGCTCCGGCCCTGCTGGAGAGCAAGGCCTTTCTGGGAATGGGGCCGATGGAGAAGCAACAAGCTGGATGGAATGAAAGAAAAATCAGGTACTGACGACATCGGTTAAGCCCTGCAACTCTAAATCCTGCTCTACTGACTGCTTACTGTTTGCCTAAACTGGTTTGGGGAGTTCCAATTCCTACTTATTGTCTCTTTTCTGGATCCCTAGAAGCTGACACAGTTCATGCTACACACTGAAGAATCCATCTAGACTTAGTGTTTTCCCTATTCTAGACTATAAGATCCTTGAGGACAGGAACCAAGTTGCACACATTGTCGGGACCCCTCAGGGTCCAGCACGTTTGGCACATGGTGGGAGGTCAATGGAGTGACCAGGCACTGGGCTCCTGAGAGGCACCCTAAGCCCCCTGGACCATGCCTAGCCACTCGGAGGGCCCGTTGCTCACTGCTTTCTCCCAAGAGATAAGACTTCCTGCCCTCTTTTCATTCCATCTCTGGGCATAGGGACATGACACTGTCTACAGATGCCAAATACCAGGAAGGGAAAGGAAAGTATGCTAAAACTCCAGTGCTCCCTTAGAGAAAGGCAAGCATACAATCACAGTCCTGGTGAGAAAACGGATTGTTTTTTGCCTCCATTTCAGTCACTGGGCATGGGGTGTCTATCATCTGGGACTGATGGCTCTTAAAGGCCTGTGTCCTCTTGCTCATGTGCTCCTTGGGCATATTTAGCACAAATATAAGCACGGAAAGGGCACATAACACTCTCCGTACTACTGATAGCACGTTCATGGGGGGGGGGGGGGGCCACGCCCGGCAGCAGAGGATCGGGGCTGACAGCAGCAGGTGAAAAGCGGGAATGTTTCCTGAATGCCTACTAGCTGCCAGGTGCTTTAATTCCTTCCCAAGTTTCAATTTACTTAATCTTCAGCACAATCCTATGAGGAAGGTAGCATCATTAACACCATTTGATAGATGGGAACACTGAGGCCTAGCGAGATTAAGTAACCTGCTCAAGTTCACAGGGCGAGCCAGTGGGGAAGCCAGACTGGAGGCCCCGCAGGCTGCTCCGCGCCAACCCCCTTCACCACTCCGGGGCACGGCCCCCTGCTGACATGTATAGTCTGGATAGGCCTGGGCAGGGAGGGGAGTCAGTGGGCGCGTCAGAGGCTGAAGAGTAAGAGGGTCTGGTGTTTATACCATGTCTAACGGAAGACAGTGAACCCATTTTCTGCTCCCATGGGGGAAGGCTTCTGGGAGGAGGCCGGCTTCCCGGTGGTGAAGGGGAGGTTGCACGGTGAAGTAGCTGGGGTTTCCTGGTCTGGGGAGGGTGAGGGGGTCACTTGGACCACGGGAGGGACCTCAATCAGACAATGACTTCCCACGGGGTGGGATAAAAGGGCCCTGTGAGAAGGCATGGGGTGGGCCCCAGGAAGGAGATCTGAGCCCCATCTCAGGCTTCTTAACAGCCAGAGAAAGACAAAGACCTGTACGTAGGACAAAACCTGGGACCTTTGGAAGGAAACGGCAAACACCATTAACTCATGTTAAATAACCACCGAGTGAAAATCATTATGGCCCAAGGGTTGTGCCAGATAAGCACTGGCAACTCTCCCACTCAAAACCGTCATCACCCCTCAGGCCCTGCCTAGCTCACCGGCTTCGTGACCCCCTCAGCTCCTCACTCCTTGCTCCGGCCACACTGGCTTCCATTCAGGTCCTTTCCACCTCAGGGCTTTAGCTCATGCCCTTCTTTCCTCCTGGAATAGTCTTCTTCTCAACCTACCCCCTCACAATAACTCCGACTCACCCTTCAATTTCCCCGTACATGTTTTCCTCACATACGCCTTCCCCGATACCCGCCCTCCCAGACCAAGTCAGGCCTCCCGTTACCAAGTCCTGTAACATCTTATCTCCCCTTCACAGACAGCGGTAATCCCAGAGTCTGGAGCCACAGTACCTGGGTGCGGGCCCTGGCTCTGCCACTTGGGCAAGTCTCTTAGCTGTGCCTCAGCTTCCTTATCTACAGAATGGAGAAAACAGCATCTCCTCATAAAGTTGTTCTGAGGGTTAAATGAGTTAATACACTCAGATCCATGGTAGCACACGGTTCCCTCCACACGACTATCAGTTCTTACAAAACTATCATAAATAGGTCTTAATCACAATTGTGATTAAAGAACTAATCATGCCTGTGGTTAATCAGAGTCCGTGTCTCCTGCCAGAGTACAGGCTTCCCCCACTCTCCACAGCAGAGTGTTCCCGAGAAACCTCCCGTAAGCTAGAATGACGTGAAGTGAAGAAGCAATGATCAGTTCATAAAAGTGAGAATCCGCTTCGGATTTCTTCCAGTTAGTGAACCCAGGTACAAATGTCTGGTCTTTCATCAAAGAAAAGTGGCAGAACGTGATCTTTCTGATTGTGGGGGAAACCTGTATACTCTCCAGTTAGGAGAGGGACACGGCCTTACTCCTTGCTGTAACTAAAGACAGCAGCATGATGCCTTGCACACAAGTGTTGAATAAATATTCAGGATACGAGTGATATGCAGGAATGAGTGAGGACATAGGCAACCCCCCCCCCGCACCCCCGTGGGAGAAGGTCAGGAATTGGGAGAGGAGCACTACCTCTGGGGCCTGTGGATCCACAGGGAAGCGGGCGGACTAAGTGGGACAGTAAGCAGTGAGCTCCTACGAGCACTTACGAGAAAGAGCTTCTAAGATGGGCTCCTACCTTGGGCCCCCTGGGCACAGGGAAGCCAGCCGAATCACCAAGATCAGCAAAAGGGCCGCAGGGTGCACGCTGACTGCCCAGCCCCTAATCAGGTGCGGGTGGGTGGCAGCACCCACCTGCTAAAGATGTCTCCAGAGACCTTCTGTAGGTACTGCAGGGCATCCGCCACCTGCTGGATGGCCTCCTCCCGCCGTAGGTCTGGCTGGATGAGGGGCACTGCATAAGTCTGCCCCGCCAACGAGTGCTGGGTCCTCGTGGGAGTCATGGTGCCTGTGGGTGGGAACCAGAGCATGAGGGGCCAGGTGCCGGGAGTAGAGAGCCCTGCCCCCCACCCCAACTGTCTGCCACAGGCCCGCCCTGGTGCAGGCGGGGAGTGGAGGACAGAGCAGTGGCTGGGAGGCCAGGAGCTCCCAGGGGCTGGTACTCTGTTGATGCTCGTGGAGTAAATGAGGGAGGGAAAGTGGTAGCAACAACAGAGACTGAAGCGAAGCGGTCAGAGAAAGTGCTTGCTGCTCTCCTACGTACCCTTTCCATACGTGATCTCATTTCAACCTCCCAAGCCTGGTTGAACAAGAAAGAAACCCTGGCTGCAGAGTTAAAAAGAGGCCAGAAGCAGAGAGATGGATTTGGGGGGCGGGGGGGGGGGAGGGAAATGCCTGTGTCAACTGCCAAATGATACCCAGGTCTAGAAAAGCACAGGAAATGCGGGCTCCTGGGTTCTTCTCACTTTGACCCCAAGGAACTCAGGACCTATTCCTGAGACAGGAGAGGTAGTGGCTGGTGACCCGGCATATGCCAGTGTCTGGGCTCTGCTCTCCCAGGCTACGGCTAAGGGGGGCCAGGAGGAAGGAGGGGCATGTGGGGGTGGGGGACAAGAAGGAAAAACACTCCTTCCAATTGCAAGATGAGGGCAGAGTCTATTTATACTGGGTTTAATTAACTCCGCTCCCTGGTGCCACTAAAGCAGCAATCACGCTGCAGACGGCACTGATTTGATTGGCAAGAGATGTACCAGGCAGAATATTAAGGCACCGGGCCCCTATAAATAGGCCTAATCACAGCCCCTCAGTAGAAGACGGTGAGGAAGACATTAATCAGACCTGGCACTGCGCTACATACCTGTTCTCTTCGGCACCATGTTGGGGCCCCTGAGTGCAACAGAGGTGGAGGTGGGGCAGGGTAAGTGCGGCAGGGAGGGCTGAGGAGGCTTCACGTGGGCTTAAAGAGCAGTGTGACTCTGGGTACGTCCCTGCCTTTTCTGAAATCTCTGATTCTTCCCATTTCCCATTCTGCAGACTGAGAATGACACCGCTAAGATGTGGTTATTCCCGACGCAGCACACCATCTTCTCCAAGCCGGAACTTACTCCTTTGCTCCCTCTGCTGGCTTCCCCGGCCCTTCCTTCTACCCCCGCCTGTTCCCTCCTACCCGGCCTACACCGGGACTCCTCAAGATCTGAAATGACCAGTCTGCTCTTCCACTTCTTCTCGGGCAGTGACATCCTCAGCTTCCCAGACCCGAAGCTGCCTAGAATCCTCATGAGGGCCGGGGAGTTACTCACCTCCCCACTTCTCTTCCCTCCTATCAAATGGCCAAAGTGGGGCCAGCTGACACCTAACTCAGGAACCCAACCCTCTGAGACCACCGCACTCCTTTCAAGAAGCCCCCCCATTTATATTCATATTGATGCAAATTTGCTGGCCTCTCTAACTTAATTCTGCACCTCGGTTTTCCCATCTGTAAGCTCAGGAGAGGATAAAAGGTAGAAGATACTCTCCGTGCACACCCTGAGATGCATTCCTTGTAAGTTACCCCAACTGTTTGTGTATGTGCACAGAAGGGGGTCGTACAGGAACAAATCTCAACAAGGAAGTAGCAGGTCCATTCAAGAATTAACAGACTGAGTACAGCTGGTTAATGATTTACTCCTTTTAAAAAAAATTTTTTTAAAGATTTTATTTATTTGACAGAGGAAGACACAGCGAGAGAGGGAACACAAGCAGGGGGAGTGGGAGAGGGAGAAGCAGGCTCCCCGCTGAGCAGGGAGCCCGATGCGGGGCTCGATCCCAGGACCCTGGGATCATGACCTGAGCCGAAGGAGACGCTTAACGACTGAGCCACCCAGGCGCCCCCGGTTTACTCCTTCTGTCTCCAAACATCTACGGATCAACTATTAGACGCCAGCCAGGATCACAACAAAGATGAATAGGACACTATGCTCTACATAGAAACGGCCTCAAAAACAACACGACAGGATAAGTGCTCTAATTCAGCCACAGTACAGTGCTAGGGAAGAAGCACCGAGGAAGGAGTGATCCATCCCTCCAGAGGTTAAGGGAGTCGGCACAAGGCTCTCAGCAGACACGGCATCTCCCTACGAGGCCTGGGGAGAGCATTCCAGGTAGAAGGGCTTGAACAAAGGTGTGTAGGGAACGGCAAGTGGTCTTGAGTGATAAGGGTATAACTATCCTTGGGCCATTAGCAGGAAAAAATAAGGCAGCCAAATCGTGATAAACACTGCGAACCGCCTTAAGAAGTTTGCTCTGAAGCCCTTAGGCCCGATCTGTCCAGTATGGTAGCCTCTAGCTGCATGTAGCCTGCCCGAGTGGAGGTGCAGTGTAAGTGCAAAATGTACACCCTCATTTCAAAGACTTAGTAGGGGAAAAAATGTAGAATATCCCGTTAAAATTTTTATATTGATTACAGGCTGAAATGACCATATTTTAGATACACAGGGTTAAAGAAAATCTATTACTAAATCTATTTCACCTGTTTCTTTTTACTTGTAAATGTGGGGCTCACATCATATTTCTATTTGATGCCACCACCTTACAGAATCTAGTAAAAACCATGGACCTATCCAGAAAATGAACAGACACCATACCCGCCCGCCAGGGCTGTTTATAATCTCGGAAGTGCATGGAATCCTTCCGGCAAACCATCCCTGGCCACCCAGCTCCCAGGGTCCTCAGCCCAGGTTAACCGCAACGGCGCGGGCAGTCAGGAAGCAAGCGCGGTGAAAGCCGTGAGCGAGAGGTCAACCAAGAGGGGCCGGGGAGGGAAGGGGTCCGAGGATTCAGTGGAGCCCGCTCGCGGGGCCCAGAGACGGTGCAAAGGCACGTGAGGGTCACGGGACCCGGCGGGCCGCGAAAGGAAGGGAGGGCTGGAGCCCGGGGCCCCGAGTCCCGCGGGCCGGCAAGGGTCCTCCCGGCGCCCCGGCCTCGGCCCGCCAGACTGGGGGCAGAGGCCCGGCGCCGCTTCCGGACGGGCGGCGGGGTGGGATGGAAGCCCGGGCGCAGGCCTGTGCGGACGGCCGCCGCCACTGGGCTCGGCGCCGGGCCTCCCGCGGAGGCAAGGGCGCGGCGGCTCCCGGGCCTCGCCGTCCGGCTCCCATCGCCAGGCGCGGCCTCCCGGAGCCCCTCCCTCCCCGTCCCCGCACCGCCCCGGGGGCCCCGCGCCCTCCCCGCCGCCCGCTCCTCACCTGCGCGCCGCCCGCAAGCCCGCCGCCAGCCGCTCCGGCCGCCGAGCTTCCGCTGCGCCCGCTCCGCCGGGTCCTGGCGCCGCCGCTCCGCCTCTCCGGGAGCTCGGCCGGCTGGCGGAGCTCTGGGCGGCCAGTGGCGGGCCCCGGCGCGGAACCGCCCCCCGCCGCACCCCTCGCGCGTATTGCGGGCTACCGGGCCGCCGCGAGCCCTCGCCTTTCCTCGCGCCCCGTCTCCTCGCCGCTTTCCGCTCGGGCCCGGCCCCGGGCTGCCCGCCCCCTCCGCCCGTCCGCCCCTCAGCGCCGCCCCGGCTCCCGACCCCGGCCGGGTCCCGGAACCGCCCGCCCTCCGCCCGCGCGCGCCCTGCTGCCGGGGCTTGGCCTCTGGGGCAGACGGCCGGCCGGCCGGAGGGTGGAGTGGCGGGCGTGCGGCGGGTGGGGTGATGGTTTCGTGCGTACAGACTTTCTGTTTCTCTCTGCGGTTTCTCTGACCGCATTGGACTCAGGCTCCTCTGAATCCTCTGCCCAAACAGGCTTCGACCTGCATCGCCAGGCTGTAGCGAGAACCCTGCGAAGCCGCTCTAGCGGAATCCCCTAGTCTCTACGTCAGATCACCCTCCATTTCTGACCACGTGCCTCATCCCCCACGATCCCCCCGCTGCTAGCCCTTCGCCCTGGCGGCCCTCAGCAAGAATCCTGTTGGTCAGCTGAGCAAAGAATTACCTACCCTCCTAGTGAGTTTCCATCCACCGCCCCCACCCCCGGCCCAGCCTGCTCCTTGGCTATAAATCCCCACTCGTCCATGCCGTGTTTGCAAGTGACCCTGCTTCTGTACCGAGGTCTCTCCCTCTGTTGCGAAGTCCTGAATAAAATCTCTTTCTACTGCTACTGTGCAGCTCTGGTTTCCTTTGACACGTCAGTTTGGGATGATGAGAAAGTTCTGGAGATTGGTAGTGGTGATGGTTGTACAGCAATGTGAATGTACTTAATGCCACTGAACCCATACACTTAAAAATAGTTAAGATGGTCCATTTATGTTATGCGCGGGTTACAACAATAAGAAATAAAGCCAGGTGGTATTTTTAAAAGACTAAACAAAAATTTAAATATATAAAGGAAGCATCAGTCCAGAGATCCTGCAGCAGTCCCTCCTGAAATCCATTTCTTTGTCTCAAAGTTCTTGGCCCCTGTCTTTTAGGGTTGCCAGATAAAAATGCAGAACACCAAGTTAATTTGAATTTGAGATAAAAAATGAATATAGATACAGATATCTATGTAGATATAAATATCCCAAACTAGGCAAGAGACACACTTGCACTTAAAAATTATCATTTACTTGAAATTCAAAATTAAGTAGATGTTTGATATTTTTGTTTGCTAAATCTTGCAAACTTACTCTCTTCTTAAAACTCTCTGAATTTTGTCCTCTTTCCCTGCTGCCCACCCCCATCCTAGAGTTAGGTTAAATTGTCTTTTTTGACAAGCACATTCCAATGTCTTGCTGGCTTGCAGCATATGGTCCCTACTGACGATGAGGAAGAGACGGGTTTCCACCTGTATTGTAGACTGAGTGTTTTTGTCCCCATCCCCTCAAATTAAATATGTGGAAGCACTAACCTCCAGTTTGATGGTATTTGGAGATGAGATCTTTCAGAGGTAGTTAAGGTTCAGGGAGGCTAGGAGAGTGGGGTCCTCATGGTGAGATTAGAGCCCTTACAAGAAAAGACACCTGAGAGCTGGCTCTCTCGAGCTCTGTCTAGCTCTCTCCACCAGGTAAGGACACAGCCAGATGGCCATATGCAAGCCAGCAAGAGAGTTCTCACCAGGAACCAAATCTGCTGGCACCTTGATTTTGGATTTCCAGCCTCCAGAACAGTGAGAAATAAATGTATGCTGTTTAAGCCACTCAGCCTATGGTATTTTGTTTTTGACGAATATAGCCTGCAAACACATTTTCTCCTCACTCCACCTGAGAGATGACTGAGCAGGTTCTTAAAGGTATTTTAAGGTTCTCAAAACACATCAAAGAAGGGGAAGAGTGCCATTCCAAAAGGAAAGCATGCAGGCTTGGGGCTCTGTCACTAGTTCTTTGTGCAACTCTGGGCAAGTCATCTAATGGGGGTGGCCCCATTTATAAATCGGGCTGGAGAGTGCTTGCCCTGCCTCCTTTTGAGAGCTGCAGAGAAAGGATATCAAAGAGCTTTGTGATCTGTAAAGATTATTCGTACACGAAAGGAAATCTGTATGTGCTCCAGGATGTTTGTTTATACACGCATGCACGCACGCACCCCACCGCCGCCACATACCAAAACTAGCTGTGTCTTCTCACAAAAGTGCTGCTAGACAGCAGCCCAGTTCACCCAGACCACCCAGTTCACCCTCAGTTTACCCTCCACTTCATAGAAGTTCTTTACCTAATCTACTGAGGCTCATCCCACACCTAATTTTAAAGATTTCCCAGGAGCTGGACGGCAAAGACATTTAACCTCAGCCACTCAAGCTGCAGGGGGAATAGACCTCGGTCAGAGCGAAGAAAAGCTAAATGTCATCCTCCTGTGTGAACGCTGGAGGCCTCGCCTGCCCTTGCCGGCCTGTTGTGCGACTCCATCTTGTGAGATACCCAGGGACAGGGAAACCATAGGGACAGCACGCCGACTGGTGGTTGGCAGGAGCTGGGAGAGGGGAGGACGGGAAGTGGCTGCTGATGGGTGCAAGGTTTTATTTTGGGGTGATGGGAAGGTTTGGGAGTTACATAGAAGGGGTGATTGCATACCATTGTGGAGGTATAAATGCCACTGAATTCTTCGCTTTAAAATGGCCCATTTTAGGGGCGCCTGGGTGGCTCAGTCGGTTAAGCGTCTGCCTTCGGCTCAGGTCATGATCCCAGGGTCCTGGGATGGAGCCCCGCCTCGGGCTCCCTGCTCTTTGGGAGCCTGCTTCTCCCTCTACCTCTCTCTCTCTCTCTCATGAATAAATAAAAATCTTTAAAAAAAATAAATAAAATGGCCCCTTTTATATGACTTTCGCCTCACGTAAAAAGAAACGAAATGCTGTGTAAGTTGTAGTGGTTCTCCTAACGCACTCCCGCACTTCTCGGATGGAGGGCCCCGCCTGCGTCTTATGCTTTGGTAGCCTCCTCGGTGTGGGGAGTGTACTGGATGTGGGATGGAATCTGAGAATTCGAGAGCTTGAAATTACCTCAGAGGTCATAGAGCCGATGCTCAGCTGATGGAGGAGGGAAGGGGCAAGAAGGTCACAGCTGCAGGCCGTCTGTGTGTGTGTCAGAACGAGGCTGAGGAAGACACAACAGCATCCCTCGTCCCCATTCCCTCAGCACACAGTGCTTGCCCATGCCTTCACACAGGTCAGGGAAACCGACTCTTAAGCAGATGATTCCAGA